ATTTATCTAAAATCTTCACGGGTGAGCTGCCGGAGAGGTCGGGAAGGAACTTGGCGAGCTGCACGTACGGTTTGTTAGGACCTATCCCAGGAGCAATAAAGTAGCCCAGTGGATGTCCTTTTGTCCCACCCCTGGCGAGGCTTCTTGGGAGAGAAGACCCTGCAGAGCCCACCCTCCTGTGCGACGTAGTATACGGCATGTGTCGGGGTTTATTATATACATATGCCTGTGTGTATATACACACAAAGGTCCTTTCCATCCTGTCGAATTCACCAACTTGGGCCTGCATAGTTCGACACGGTGGAGCGGATCGGAACAGCTGGCTCGATTCGCTCCTGCCGGATGCTGGCGGATGGTGGTCCATGGTTGCACGCATCGCGGTGCACGCGTGCGCCACGGACACTCCCCTCGTGTAATCTTGCGTGATAAGGGGGATGTCAGACTGGGCGTGGAAAACATTGAGAACGTGGGGAACTGCCCTCGTTTTGGGGTCCTCGATGAACTCCAGCATGTAAATTTCATGAATACGAGGCGGGAGCTGCGTCTGCATTATTCAAGGATAATCCTGACTTTTTATCCGGGATTTCAGGACCTCAAGGACGCACCCTTGGAACTAACTGAAAGAAAAATTTTCTGTGACAATTAAATCGTTCGTCGTAAGAATAGGCATGGTGTTTATGGTCTCGTGGGTTTACATGAAATGAAAAAAAAATGAGATGTACGAGATGGATAAATTATACCAAGCACCGATGGAACGTGATAAATGGGGAATGAAAGTCCTCCTTCTTCGGTCCGTGGAGGATATTGAACTTGGCATGGAAAGTATTCAGACGACCATGAGGAGAGTGGATCTCGTTCTGGGGTCTTCGATGAGCCCCGGTGACTTTTATGAATGTGAGACGCAGCATGCGTGGCTTATGCGGGAATGACAATGTCCTCGATTGCGAGGTATGCGTCCGAGTTCTTTTAAAAACGTACCCATTGTTGGCAGTCCATGAAGGATGTGTAACATAAGTCGTTTTCGTCGCACCAGGTGGGATCGTGGCTTCTTATCCATTTTACATCAATTTTTTTGCGAGATCTGTAACGCATACAATAGTATCAGTACACGTATAAAAGAACAATGGCGCAAGGATATTCCCCCAGAAAGAGGTGAATCCATTAATCAACTTCCCGTGACACAAAAACGAAGGGTGAGTATTCTAACTCGGAGTTTCCAATTTCGTAGAAAATGGGAAACGGCCCCGATTCATTATTACTACTTTTATGTTAATACCCTCGGTAGTCGTCTAGGGATTACTAGCGCAATTCCAGCCGATGAGCGATGACGCCGACTCGCGTGAGACCGGGGGTGTCCAATGCATAATGTTTCGAATATACGCGAGCATCGGAACCTCGGAGGGTGCCGGGGTCCCAGGGGATGATTTATCCCCAGAGCGAGCGATCAGCCGAAGCAAAAGCCGGGGGTCCCCCAGCATCCACCAGGAACAACGAGCCCCTGCTTCCTAGAGCGACGAGAATTCTCGAAATTGGGGTGAGAAAACAGCGGGGGATGTTTGGGGGCTTGATTGCGATTTTTAGTACCGCAGGGGCTGGTTTACAACTATGACTAACGCGGCGTTGAACTCATCGCCATGGGGGAGCACGTCGGTAATGGCCGACTTCGAGTTTTAAAATTACACAACGGAGACCTTTACGGACGACTTCGTCAATGGCGGATTTTTCGAGTTAAGTTACATTCGTCAGAGATTCGCGGAATTGCACGGAATGCGAGACTCGCGAAGACGACGCCCTGCATCTGGGCAATCACGCATACGACCATTAGGTCTTGTCCTCATGAAAGCTGATAGCCTGCAAGGCGATGGTCAGCGCATGGAAACGGAGCCAGTGAATGTAACTCGAGATGATAATTGTCTCATGGATCCAACACCCGTCGTCATTGTGAGACTCGAGGGTCAGAAACGCATGAACAAAGGACGCTTCCTCGGTCGTCAAGTCTGGAGAGAAAATTTCTAACGGTGTAAAAAATAGAGCAGACCCCACATGGGCGTTCGGCGCGTTTGCAGATGAAGATCTGCGAACTGTTTAAGCGACCATGCGAGTAATTGCTCGGATACACCCGCATACGATACGGAAATTGACATTACAAATAGGTAACGTAGCTTAGAAAGAGAACGACTACCGTGTAATTCCTCGACACGTTCTTAGTAATCCATCCAATAGTTTTGACATTGTATTTACACGGTACGGTAGCGAGAGGAAACGAAAACGTTTAAAGCCGATGCCAGATGTGAATTGAGACGCTGCCGAGATTAAAGCGCACCCTAAATAAAATTAGCACCGTTGGTACGTGTGTGTTCCAAATTATGTTAATTATATTGACCAACATTTGGTGTCTTCGTTCAACCCTCTCATGCCTTGTTTGTTAATTTACTATGCTTTAATCCGGCACCAGCCATTGTACCTTGGACGATGGCAACAAAACTAACGAAAAAAAAAAGAAAGAAATATCGGACCTGCTCGTGCAATAATCGCTCTCGCGATTACGACACTCGAGGAGAAGCAACGGTAGCGGCGATATGTTTCTCCGCAACGTTAGGCATCGGACTTTAATTATCTTACGTATCGAATTGATCCATATAAGGCGCAGGACATTGCGTTGATCGCGAGCGGTTATGTTGCCGATGACGTCGGCGGATCTTTATTTATAGCTACGGCGGATAGATATTTTATTCAATATCTTAAGGTGCAGTCCGCGGCTTTCCGCTTTGCCGACCGTCTCTAATTCGATCGGCTCGCTAATTCGAAACACGGACGATAATCGTGCTCTCCGCGAAGTCGCACGCAGTTGCGTAATGTCACGCCTCTCGGTCTCGGCACACCCTTCGAGGAGAACCCCTCTAATCTCGAGAAAATGATAAAAGTTGCCGAGAACGTTTCCCTTGGTCGAAAGGTCCCGACATGTGAGTCCTCTTCGAGGTTCCAATGGCGGCGAGTCGCAAAGCGCTTTTCCTTCGACTTGGTCCTTGCGGCCGTGGTGGCTCGTGCGTTTTCCTAGGCCCCGATTGGCCCCCATGGAAAGCTCCAAGACGGGTTAAGGTCCCATTCACCGGCGAAATCGGACGCATGAAAGAGCTTCCGGTCCCATTGAAAGGCCTGTCGAAGAAAGAGAGAATTACGCATGAATGGCGACACGAGAACCGGCCCTTAAAGGCCGTTTCGGCTCGCGCATGAGGCACGTTGCACGCCTCACTCGTCGATTATGAATGCGGATTAACGCATTCACTCAAAACCTATTCATTCACATTCAGCGGCGAAACAATAACACTCCCATTGTACGGATGTAGGATTTATTTCAGGGGACTCTTCAATCTTCGTCTCATCCGAGGGTGAACGCAACTCCGGGCCAGACATTTGTTTCGCAGATTTCAGCCGCGCGAAGAAAAAAATCGGCAGGATTTCTGGGCGGTAATTGCTGTAATTACGTGAGATACAGTCGTGAGGTACATATAGATACACACCTGCACCGATTACTCTTTCACTCCTCCCGATATGCAGAATTCCTCGCCGAATACAAGTTCGCTAATCGGGTAAACGGTATCTCGTCGTTTAGGGCTTGTTAATAAATCCCATCCAGGATAATTAAGTAATAAACAATAAATGATACCTATGGGATATTCTGCTCTCCGGTAGATATTTATTACGTCAGGATTGACTCAGCCCAGGTACCGTTGCACCAGCTTCCGTAATTATTTTCCTGAAGTGGATCTTCGACGATTTAGAAACTGAATCCTAAGGAAAAATTCGATTAAGTGGAATGAAAGTACCGGTAGCCGTTCGTCGAAAGGCGTTTACTCATTTGCAAAGGAAAAACAAGAGCACGCGCATCCTGCACCGGTGCAGGACACTTACATAAAACCCTCAATTACTGGAGAATGCGAACGTAAATCAAGCATGAAGAAATGAAAACCCGATATCCTTGAGGGCTGATCGATGGCCGGGGCGACACGATTGGTAGGGGAATCATTTTCACGACTGAATGTGATACGGTCCTCGCTCGGCCTCGATCAAAGATCGGCGAGATCAAAGCGCTCCGACGTGATGTGATAGTTGCTTTAGATGACGCGATGTTTCGGAAAAAGTCTCGCTATCTTTTCTCTTTACTTACAAGCATTAAGGGTAGAGATGTTGATTCTATTGAATGCAGGTAAAATTCGTACATCTTGCTTCATTTTATCACTCATGTCCGGACAAAGCAACGTGGAACTGCACTCAACTTGAGTAGACTCCATTCTCAAGCCCATATGTGTGCATTTCAAAATTAATTGGGTACTTCATTGCACTAATTAAAAAAAAAAGAAAAAAAACAACGAGAATTAGGGAGGACATTTACACGGTAGAATGCAACCTTTGAATACTTGGGAATGCTTGCTGTAGTTCTTTATTTTGGTGTAGAGTGCGCTACGTGCTGATTCGTGGTTAGGAAATTACCTTCAGAGGTTGGATAATCTTCCGTCGATAAAACTGGATTTACTGAAGGTTACCTTACAGAGAATTTAACAGAAGAATTTGTTTTCAATTCTATGGTAGATCGCTACAGGTTTCTGGTGGATATTAAATGCTCCCTCTGGAAATAAAAAAGAATTTCCTAAGATTTTTTTTAAGCATTTTACCTGGAGTCGTTGGTCGCGATCGTGGGATTCCAAGATGGCGTCACAAGATGGCGTCTCGAGATGCTATTCAAGATGGCGGCCAAGCGCGAAACAGCTGATTCTCTTTATCCGGTTCAAAAATTCTTCCGGTCCGGTGGACTACCGTTCCAGTGATCCGTGGCGAAAGCGATGGAAAAGATGGTAGATGAGGCAGGAGACAGGTTCGTAAGGACAATTTACATTGATTTTCTTCTGAAATTAACAACGCCGACCTTAATTTTTATCAACAAACCGAGACTTTTGTTTTCCGCAACCTGGAAGTCGCTCACTCTAACGAGGAGCTAACCTCAATCTCTGTCCAGAATGCCGAAATGAACCGGCATTCGTTAAACTCATTTCACTTTTTTCATGCGAAAATGTCTTTCTGTATCCAATTCCTGCAATGACGTATCATTGTATTCTTAATGTCACTTGCTACGGTTTTTCGTGGCTTACGTGCACGAGATACCGGGTCTGTCAACCATACTTTTAATGTTTTTGTTATTTATTATACAATTATCTTAACTTTGAATTTATCGGATCACAGATTATTCAGGTACAATAGTTCACCTAATTCGTATTTCTTATTGACTTATAATTAACGTCCAGGATGCACTTGCACATTGCTGAATTTCAGGTTATATGTTCTTATCAATCTCTTACATAACATGTAAAAGAAATAAATATTAATGAGGTACTTGAATAAAGGTCAGGATTTATCAATAGAACAAAAATAGACTTATATTGAATATGTATGTTTAAACACGTTGTCTAACTATTAGATGCTTGTAGAAAAAGAATCAGAGAGGACATATTTTGATTCAAATCTTTATTGTGGTAATTGAAGGTTTAAGTAACTTACTTTGAAATTTTTATTTGAATGCAGAGATGACGCTGCAAATGTTGCCATTATTAGAGAGGTATATGATAGTGAGAATGCGCATGAAACATTTGAGTATGAATTGGAAAGGGCACTGGAGTCTGAATGTAGTTTGATAGTCATCGAGCCATCGAAGCTCGGTGATGAAACGTCCCGATGGATAGCTGTTGGGAATTGTCTTCATAAGACAGCTGCAATTTCTGGCCTTGCGGCAATAGTCACAGGTTTGCCTTCATGTGTAAATGTAGTTTGCTGGTCAGATCATTCAATGTTTCTGTAAATTAAAATTTTTCTATTCGCAGGTCTCGTATGGGGTGATCGACCATACATCTGTGGCCCGTTAGGTTTTACGTCGATTATCACCTGTGGACTGTACACGGTCTCCTGGCAATTTGATCCTTGTTGTCAGTATCAGGTAGAAACAGACACCAGTAAGCTACCACATGTTGAATTGCTGGCAGTTCTAGGACCCTCTTCTCCAACTTTCCTTGTTAGAAAGGACGACACAAGAAGAAGGATATTACATACAACAATTACATTAACAGCACTTTGTGTTTGTGCCTGGAGATTGTATCGAGCTTTTAAGTGAAATTGCCCTTGCGAAGGGTTGAGCAATTTTAAGGTGATAAAAAAGACAGGAAGGTAGGATTTCACGCGTGATCTTCGTAGTAAGACATTAAAATAGGACTCATTGAATTAGGAAAAATACAATTTTGCTTTGCCTACGAGCAGTTGCAAATTGTAATGTCGCTCAAACTGGTGTTGTGCATTTGACAGTGACCACTGTCTCATTAATTAAAAGCTCTTTAAATAATAACTGCCACTTTATAAAATGACAGTGATTAAAGGAGTAACACTCAATTTTTCCACTTACAATTGCATGAGAGCAAAATGTACGTACATAGAATACAGTTATGCAGTCCACCACACCATTGATAAAAGGGTACACGCAGGCCACTGTTATGTTAGCTTGTAAATAAAATAGGTAGAATACACTGAATACACTGAATACATTTTGAGAGAGGGAGTTACCTGATTTTCTCTATCCTATTAAAACACATTTTAACTATCCGTACTCAAATTCCCATCAAGTTGAAGAGCATTTTAATTGTATAACAAGAACGAACAAAAAGTGGGTAGCTACAATTTAACAAAAAATACTGTTAAAAGTATATTACTATTTTAGAATGGTTAATATAATGCCACTTATTTATCAAGAAACAAACTGAAATTAACATTTGTATACTGCTGTGAAAATTTATAGGAGGCTGCACGTGCAGAAGTTGGGCAATAAAATATGACATCATAAATTTGTAATACAGATATGATAAAAGTAAATCTAACTAGAAATTATATTTTTCCTAATTCCTAAATAACATGGTTACGCTTGTAGCTCATGATGAAGCCAAACAAACATTTAGGGAACAAAGATGTACGAAATTATACAAGTTTAGTCACAATGCATTAGATATACTATAGGAACTTACATTTTTCTTCCTATTACTCTCGTGATGAATACAGATTTATGAATGGTATAGTTTATAGAATGAGCCCAATATGCATAACATTTGGCTTGAATCACATTACGTAATGCAAATTCTTTTCTCCGTTGTGACTAATTGAGAATATAAAAATCAATATATTTGTACAATTCTGATGCACTGATGTACATCTAATTTTAATTCTTATACTGTTCAGATATTTAAAATACGTATGCACGAACAATGGTTATTCAGCAGGTCCCTTTAGGGAAAAAGAATAATGTATGAAGTAATTGCACAATTATTAAGTTATTTGTATTGTAATAAATTCAGACACGAAAGGCTCAAATACTTTTATGAAGAATGATGTTCAGTAAGATAACTGTAGAATGCACTTCTACATATGCTTCTTTAGTTTCAACGTTACGGAAGGGTAAATCATCAATTTTGCTTTTGATAGCAGTGGTATTCTTTTTTTTTTTTTTTAATCCAATGATGGCAGTAACATCAACGTTCATGGTTTCTCTTGAAGAAATCTATCACAGCACATTTCAAAATTATTTTGAAATACAACGAAGAAGAATTTATCATATAACACGTATCTCCCACAACACTTATTCCATCAGGAATCATTGAAACATACTCAACTCATTCCTAAAAACCATGATACAGACAAAACTGTTTCATTGCAAAATCTTAGTTTATTACAGTGAAAACTAATATTTGTACAAGTAATCATTACAAACAAAGGATTACTGTAACGTAACGTTTCCAACTTTTCTCCTCTTTAACTCAACTTATTAATTGAATTCTCAAATGTGCTAGGAACGTTTTACTGCTGAGATTTGTACAAATGACAGTATCGATTTCTCCAGTCACTCGAATGAATTTTAATAGCATCGTTGCAGCGTTATTGCATTTTCTTGCATTTATTTTATAAGCAGCCTCACAACCCACACAAACTCTCATCCCTGTTCTTTTATTAGTATGAAATAGCCATGGTCATTGTGCAAATCGTGACTCTAGTCAGATCAATCACACCGAATTAGGATGAGGTTCCTTAATTTAGCACAGCTAACTGTTAATTATCAGTGATAAATTCGATTTCAACATGGTGAAGATATTCATTGTACCTAAAAACATGCTTCAGCTGCGATTTCAGTCGCGAGTGTAATCTTAAAGTGTACATAATGTAAACATGTTCCACTTATTCGTGGCCATTACAATAATAATAAACTATAGTTTTAAATAGTCGACAAGTTTGGTTTCAACTATTTCCAATCTTTTAGAAATTATTTATTTAAACCCTATAAAAGTGCACATAACAAAATAGATTAGTTCAACGAAAGAATTATAAAAGAAAAATAAATTCGATCTGTCACAGCTATAGTACTTTGTTCGCATTGTTTATTGTTGTAGTATTTAGTTTGGTTTATGAAATAATGTAGGAAGAATGAAACATTGGAAGTGTTATTCCTCTTTTGCCAATCTTTTAGCCCTTCTGTGCATAATCCAAAAATATAGGGAGGGAAACGCCCACCGTAAGAATATTGCAACTTTTGGGGCGACGGGAGCAATAATCAACTCCTTTTGATTGCTCAACACAGCATTTAAGATACATTCTGCAACGTATTGGGCAGTGTAACCTTCTTCTAAATCTTTGTCCATTACTAAAAAAGAAACATAGTGCTATAATTTATACGCAAGTAAAAAAAGATATAAAATGATTCTTGCATTTCTGGCTGACCTCCATGTGTTTGTCCAGTTCCCGTTAAAGCATTAATAGACAGTGCCGTTCGAATGTAGCCAGGACTAATAACGGTAATTTTTATATTTTTGTCACTTAATTCTGCTCTAGCCGAATCACACCATGCTTCCAGAGCATGTTTCGATGCTCCATATGCAGATCTAAAACCCAACAAATTATACACATAATTTTAAACCTCTCAGAACACAACATTTCTGAAGTTTTTTTTAATTATAAACAATAATTAAATACTGTTTCAACTACCTGTATGGAATAGCAAGTTTTCCCTGCACACTGCTTACATAGACTATATGACCATCTCTCTGTTTGATCATTGATGGCAAAACAGCTGAAAATTAAACAGAACATTAAATTAATGAAGAACAGACATGGTTGCGAATCCTCATATCTTATGAAACAATGTATTACCTTTGGTTAAAGCAATTTGTGCAAAATAATTGGTCAACATAACTTTTATGTCGACATCAACATTAGTGTTAAGAATGTCTCCTCTATAAGAGATTCCTGCATTATTTATTAAAATATCAATGTGACCGTGAATCATTGTAACCTTTGCAATTTCTGATGGAAGTGCATTGATATCAGTCAAATCCAAGGGCATGATAACAGGGGGATGAGTGGGCACAGTCTGAAAAACATATTGTAACCATTAATATAAATCTTAACACGTTTGATAATTTGTGGTTCCAGTACAGGCCAACCAGGCTACTACCTAGTTCTTGTACATAAACGTACATAATGTGTACTAATTAATTCTTGTTTTACTCTCTCCAGTTGTTCTTTACGCCTTGACACTAGGATTAATCGACAACCACAATTGTAGAAAACGTGTGCTAGAGATTCACCGAGGCCCGAGCTTGCTCCAGTAATCAATACAACCTGAACAATCGTAGTAAATAAAGTAATTTAATAACTAGTCATTTTAATAAGTAACGATGTCTGCAGATATTTAATTTTAAGTCGTCAACAAAAAGTGAGCTGCCAAATGATTACCTTGCCATTGAGCAATCCTCGTCTATGTTTCTTCATTAAGATCATATATATGTGATAGATTAACCAAGGCAGTGTAATGGGAATGCCAAATATATTAAACAGCCACCAAATCAAAGTCCATCCTCCAAGCTTTTCGTGTTCCTTCATATTTGTATATTAAGTCCCTGCTGAAACGGTCCTTCAAGAAGTGTTATATTTAAAAATCTTAATTAAAATCGTATTGTATTTCACTTTAAACACATCTATTTGTGATGGCCATTTACAGTAGAGTGAACAAGAAAATGCCTTGAATAGTCCTTCACTTTATCTTCATGATTCGATTATAACCTTCGAACCCTGTTCACATATGAATACATTGCCCGATTCATAAAGTCATTTTACCCATGAATCACATGTGACCTGTAGGATGCTGTTTCTTATTTAAAAAATGATAATACGAAGATACTCCAAAAATACTTGCAGGAGTACGTGCAGAGTTTTGTACTCGTGCGAGAGAGAAAACCATTTTTCGCTACTCGTGCAAGGTGCGTAAAAATGAGATAGACATAATGACGACTCAAGCGCCATCGCATGAATGCATTAGCTATTTTTTGTGGTTATTTCATTTTTAACTAGTATAACTAAATTCTAAAATAATACCCTTATACGAAATCCAATCGACAGATGGAAAACATTTTGTATATCACAACATTTAATTAATATGCTTGAAATATTCAAATGATAGAAACTAAAAATTAATTGTTCAAAAAACCCGCCACGCTTCGCGTATCATTTCAAATATCGATACGAGAACAGTTTTCGATTTGGTTCCTGTTCTCAAGAATCGCAATCCTAACCTCGAATATTCAAGCAATAACGCAGTTCTAGTTGTTCTAACGATATAAAAAATAACTCCATAAATTCAAGAACACATTTAATTAGAAAGTGTTAATGAAGATTGATTCATTTAGGGAATAGCAGGGTTTTGCAGGAAGGAATCGAGTCGGTGAAGTCGCGCACTATCGAAGATCGATATGCATCGATCCGGTGAGTGCTTCGTGGGCAATATCGCATCGAATAGCAGTCACTACAGGGCCCAGGAATAACCTTGTTGTACCGACGTTGACCGTAGCTTGCCGATGCTTGGGCGGCGAAACGGCAACGCGGATGGTTTGGAAAATTGGCGATAAACACACGGCTGCTTTGGGAGAGGAAACTCGCGGAGGAAGATTACTCCTGCGCGTTGTGACAAGATCCGACTCGATCCGGAGGTGACGGAAGCCTCCTTGGAAGGAAGCGGTTAGTGTGTTGCATAGAGGAAAGCGAAGGACTCGCTTGCTTTAGTCCGAAGGATCGTTTTCTGATTCGTTCGGAGACGCGGCGACATCGCGAAGGAAAGGTAATTGAGGTTAGAATTCTTGGAGGCGGAATGGTGAGAGTAGCGCGTGCCGCCTGCAGGCCAGGAATGACAGAACCTAACTTAACATGAGGTGATACTAGGTTGTTGCTTAGGAGTTCACAAGAGAAATTGGGAAGTAGTTTAAAGACTCCTAAACCTAACAAGGGATTTCACAAAGTGTCTAGCGGTGACCTTGATGAGAAGTTTTGCACAAAGGAGCTATTGGTGCTACTCGATGGAGATAGAGGTATCGTTAATCTAGAGAATGAGAAGCACAGGCTACATTCAGCGCAAGGTTGGTATTTCAGAACTCTTGTGGAAGAAGTTTAGTTACCTTGATGTGGAGAAGTTCTAAAAAGAATTTGATAACTGCTTTGTAGGGTGGTATGGACCTATGAAAATGAACGGCGTATCTTTCGATAGTATTCGTTCGATCACCATGATCTGACGACGATATAAAATGCTTAAGGCAAAAAAGAAATTCATGCGTCGTTTTAGAAGAAATGAAGAAGTTGATTTAATGAATATGGTGGATGAGGAAAGCAGCAAGAGGAAAAGGTAATTAACGCCACATTTGTTCCAGCTGATACAGTGATTATTATCAATTGGAAATATATACTTATTAATCGTTATCAATGCTACTTATCGGCCAGGAATGGCAGAAGAGATAATGGATTGATGGGATTATATGCAAAATTTGGAAATCCTGATACGATAAGGTGCCTAGTAACATTCTTACATATTAGAGGTCAATGAGAACAAATCGTACCTCTATTTCCTTTAGCTTCATTGTATCAGTGACAATGACTTGTTTAATGCTCACATCATGGAAGGCTTAGTACAAACAAACAATTTACACATTGCTTTATGATAAGCAAAGAAGGAAGTTAACAATAATTTATTAATGCTTCAAATTTGCTTTACTGCCTCGTAAATTCCAATATGGAAAATAATTAAATGAAAAGGTAATTAAATTGAAGATTTCTGGATGTTACATTTTCAAGTGAAACAAAAGAATTGAACATGGGATAACGTAAAATTGGATCGAAGCTTAGGAGACTGTATAGAACAATTAGGAGACGTATTGACATTTAGAAGATCAGGATATAATGGAGACTCATGAGAACGAGCAGTATGTTACTTTTCCTTTGACTGGAGTGCACGAGCAGATGCAAGATGGAATCATATCTCATGAGGAAATTTGTGAACCAGTGGAGGAATGTGTTTTGAGAGAAGGCCTTACGGAAGTATCTGTCAGAGATGTGAACAGTGGTATATCTGAAACTCAGGTAGCAGTTGAGATTCTCGCTGATCGGTCGGATGAAGAGGATGAAAACTCTGTAGTTTATCCAATTTATATCAAACAAGAGGAACAGCAACAGTATACATCAGGAGATGATGAATCCATGGCTGTAGAAGCTTTGCGTCAACTCGGAGGAATGTATCCTTGCTTTGAAGATAAGAAAATCGGATGTCCTAACTGTTCAAATTTATTTACACAAAGTGAAATGGCGAAGCATCATGGGACATGTACTCCAATTAAATTAACTTGTACTACATGTGGAGAAAGATTTGAAAGGAAAATAGATTTAACCAATCATGTGGTTTGTCATCAGATGGATCGCCCACATTCATGTAGAACCTGTGGAAATTTATTCCGCTCAAAGGCTAACCTGCAATCTCATATGGCACAAGTCCATCAAATAGAAAGACCCCATAAATGCACCATCTGCGGAGCAGACTTTCAGAGACCTTCGAGTTTATCCAATCATATGAAAATTCACTCTTATGTAGCTGGTCGAGCGATCATGCAGGCTCAAACAAATAATGTGACACAAAGTGTCGAGTCGTTTAGAAAATGGCCAGAGAATACTATGTCCGATTCACAGAACAATACCGTGCACACGTCATCTGTACAGACCATCCAGAATTATGATGTATCACAAGTACATTGGTCGGTACCATCATATAATTTTCACAGTGAACAAACTAATGTTAGCTCCATTCCTACCCACCAGGAGAAGATGGGCACAATGCACGAGTTCACGGTCATGCCCAATGGTGAAGTAACTCAGTTCGAGTTTACTCAACAAACTGCTATGGCTAGTCAAATCAATCCTCAGTATAATCTGTCACTGAATTCCTTTAACAATCAAGACTCCATGGTAAAGGTGGAAACACTTCCATACTCCAGCGAGAACAGGAGGAACTATACAGAAATTGACGTAACCGAAACAAAAAATCATACTTGCAGTCACTGTGGCGTAAACTTTTCTCGGGCTACTGCTTTAGCCTCCCACGAGAAGATCCACACATCTAAAACTTGGGGCATGCCTATCGAGTGCGAATACTGTGACAAGCAGTTTCAAGATGCTAATCACCTGGCTGCACATCAAACTACTTGTGCCAAGAAGATGATGCAAAATAATATCGAGCAAGGAGTACCGAATAATAAATGGGGTAAGCATGCATGTTCTGAGTGCGGAAAAAAATTCACGACCAAGCAGAAGATGTTTCGTCATCAGTGGATTCATCGAAAGAAGACTCACTCCTGTGAAGTTTGTGGTTCGCAGTTCGAGAAACAAAATCAACTAGACGAGCATAGATTATCGGCTCATCCTGGTGACTCGCCATTCACGTGTAGCGAATGTGGTAAAAGTTTTGTGTCTCGACAAGGTCTATGGGAACATGGAAGAACTCATGCTGGAAGTCCGGCGCATTTTCATTGTGACACTTGCTCAAAAACTTTTTCTTCTCGGCAAGGATATTTGATACACCATCGTACTCACACCGGTGAGCGGCCGTATGGATGCAAGTTCTGCTGGAAAGCTTTTCGAGATGGCGGGACCTTAAGAAAACATGAACGAATCCATACAGGAGAGAGGCCTCACGTGTGTCCGTTGTGTTCAAGGGCTTTCAACCAAAAGGTTGTACTCAGAGAGCACGTAAGGTGGGTTCATGCTGCTGGAAAGAACGAAACAGAAGTCACCGGTCCACCTTTTCCGTGTCCTTTGTGTGGTGCTCTAAATCAAGATCGAGATGAACTTTGTGCTCACATTGTCAAACATTCTGATCAAATGATCGCCGAGGCCAAGGCAAAGACAAACAATAATTCACCAAAACCAAAACCCCCTAAGAAGAAAACGAAATCTGTGGGAATCGCTGCTCAGGCCAAGTCTGTCTCTGGAAACAGAATGGCATTGAAAAATGAGCAAACCGAGGCATTGCTCTCGATTACTGAACCTGCCGAAAAAAACACTGATAATAGAAATATGACGAATAAACAAACCGAATCTTTGCTCTTAAGCCCTTCAGAGAAACGGAATGAGTCGATGCATATAATGTCCGAAAAGCCTAATAATGTCAGACTCATATCTGAGAATAAAAATGAAACTGCTCACATTTCTCAGAGGAACCACGGCGAGTCCTTAAATCTCATTGCCATTGAGAAGCGTGGCACTTCTGCTCACCTTGTGTCTTCGGTTGAAGCAAATAACGTTATTCATACTATCGCCAGCAGGCATGGAGATACTTCGTCGATGCATCTGATATCTACTTCCAAGCAGAGTGACTCATTACATCTGATACCTACTAATAAACAAAGTAACACCCTTCACTTGATATCTAAACAAAACGAAGCTCTACCGGTTTTAGCTATTCCGAATCCTCAGAGTCATGAGAACTTCTCCAGTCAAATCGCACAAATAAGTAACGCAGATGTTCCAATGAACATGGTGACGCATCATTCATCGAGACAGAACCAACAAACTATAAAACAGCAAGCCCAACAAGAGTCCTTGATACACGAAGGAAGCCAGCAGCCAGCTGTCATCCACGTTGTTCAGTATCATCAGCAGGAAAGTGATGACGGGGAAGAACTTGTGTGTGGGATATGTGGAGATGATTTCCATGACAAGGATGTGCTAATGGAGCATGTCAAAATTCACATATAAATTACTGTAATTTATTGCTGTCCAAGTTTGTGATATTTTCTGTAATTTCTAGCAGAATCATATAAACAACTGTTGGTTTAATTAAATGAACTGTATGTATAATTCAGTCATGGCTATGGCAAAGCCAAGTGCATGGTCAGAGAGTATAGAATATAATATCCGACAAAGAAGTATTCTTTGTTATTTCAGATTCTGTTTCAGTCGCCATGCCTTTGATAAGTTCAGGAATATAGGTTTATCTTGCAAAGTGATCTTAAGTGGTGCGCGACAACTGACTTTTTATTGTTACAAAGAGTCTACACCGAATTTGTACGTTTTCAACTTTGATTTAGTTCCCTTGTCGCTTTTGTACATACGAAGACCCCATGTGCATGTATTGTATTATAAACTTTGTACGTGTCCTTGCAACCACTAGGCTCCGAAGAGAGGACTCAGATAATATACGCAAGCAGAATTGTGAATGTATTAAAGTAAAAGAAAACCACATATCGTAAGTAAACGTTGAAATATGCAGGAATGTCCGGAACGTCATAATTTCTACGTTAACATGGATCGTTGGTCCTTCATTTACGATATTAAACATTATCATTACCTCGACTGATTCATCGGGTACTTGAAAATGTAGCACTTAAGTGCAATGAGGATACATTTATTGGAAATAAATTGCATTTTATTTTGTACCTCGCTTCTTGTATTTTCTGGTGAATTTATTATGTAAGTATAATCATGATTTTTAATCCTATTCGTTCGGGAAATTCTATTTATATCAAGAAACTGATAATTTCACTAGCATCGAGTTTATTGGGAAATTGAAGTGGCGCGAAAATGAAGAAGTCACGTGGTCGAGTATAAAGCGTCGTCACGTGATCTCTGAATTTGTGCAATTAAATTGTTCTGCATAAATCGTTTGTGAAATAATTAGTTACGTGAACATAGTTAGGTATATAATGGTTCCGGCATAATCTTTTGGAAGATCTCTACACAGTCAACAATAAGGTATGAATTTAATCCTAAGGATATACGAAAAACAGAACAAGTGTCTCGTACCACGTGACAAAACATGTGCGAACGAAAGATGCTCAATTCTTTAATGAATAGTTAAGTAATTATTTCAATGTATTTTGGTTACTTTATTTGAAGAGTTTATTTAATATATTTTTTTTAAATAGTTAGTTACATTTTTAAATGAAAATTAATGACGGGCTGCGAATTAAGTATTTCTAACCTCATTTTTGAAAACAGGGGGATGGAAGCGTGTAAGAGATAAGGTTAGACGTATGTACATTACCGGATGACAACAATGTTTACACGAAAGTAAAAGTAGTGTATTATTGTATTAAACAAATTTTTAAGTAAATCGCATTGTTGTCGAAAGAATCCATAAAGGGTATATTTACTGGCTAATTTGCAAATATGCGTATGTGAAGCGTTCGTCAGATATTGAACTTGGTTTTGATCATAACCTAACACTTGAAGGAATAAACGTGTTTTATTGGAATTAAAGGAATAATTGACGTTTGTACGCGTGAAAATAAAGCATTTATTGAAAGGAATCGCAAAATGCCGACTTGGAATCAGATACAAGCACAATTGCGCAACCCAAACAACCCAGTTGTCTTTTTCGATGTGTCTGTGGGTACGACAGAGATTGGACGTATAATCTTTGAGTTATTCGAAGATGTTTGTCCGAAAACTTCAGAGAATTTTCGGCAATTCTGCACTGGAGAGTACCGAAGAGATGGTGTACCATTGGGATTCAAAGGAGCGATCTTCCATCGCGTAATCAAAGATTTCATGATCCAAGGAGGTGACTTTGTTAACGGAGACGGGACTGGAGTCCTTAGTATTTATGGAGGTAGTACGTTTCCTGACGAAAACTTTACTCTAAAGCACGACTCCCCTGGACTTCTTTCAATGGCTAACAGTGGAAAGGACACAAATGGTTGCCAATTCTTCATAACATGTGCCAAATGTAATTTCCTCGATGGCAAGCACGTAGTGTTTGGCAGAGTGATCGATGGACTTTTAGTTATGAGAAAAGTGGAGAACGTTCCAACGGGGCCAAACAATAAACCGAAGATACCTGTGACTATATCTCAATGCGGGCAAATGTAGCGTCATGCTTCTGTAAGAAGCTTTACCTGCTAAGAACTACCTTATTTTAATTTAAATATGTAACATTCTTTGTACATCTCATGGAAAGAATTTTTATTCTTGCACATTTCTGAATCTTATCCGATACCTTCCTTCCAATATTATGCCGTTATTACTTTGAGTTATGCCGTAATTTTCTATTAGCCTTAATTACTTAAGGAAGTTAAGAGGCTGCACCGTTGCACTTCGATATCAGGGTAACGGAGAGACGTATTCCTTGATACTCAACCGAGAGACATACATTGCAAAAAAAAGTAATGCCTATAATTCGTATATTGATTTTTGTACACGTAAATATTTATGGTTCAATTCGTACAAGTATTATTAGCACGTTTTATAATTAAAAATAGTCAAGGTCAGTATTGTCCGAACTTCATAAGAATAATTTTTAATATTTTATTATATATTGCAGCAGTTTATATACAGCTTAAATTATCGTCCCGATGAACGAGACGAGTACATAATACACTTCGATCGATTCGACCAAGCCTAACCCGTAATCGACGTGAATTAACTACAGTCGACTTCTCGTTCAAGCCCCTATGATCACGTAGGCTCCATTAAGTACATACAGGTACACTTCCGGTTTTACCTAGACCATTTATACGGTCAACTAGCATTATCAGATTTTCCCTACGGATACATATTATGAATAGACAAATTCCGATATTATCTAATACTATCGAGCAAGTTTTTATTATCTATACACTCGGTGTAGAACTCTGCTCTGCACAATCTTGAAAAGTCTCTTTCGATGCCCTTAAAAAGTATAAAAATGGCTCTATAGTAATTCCGTTCCGATCTTGGTAGCGTTTCTTTCTTTTTTCTTTTTAAAGCCCGAGCAGAAAACCTATTATAAAACTATAATAATCTAATATATATTGAGATCTTTCATTCGCGCTTATTTTATATTCTTTAGCAAACAGATAACATTAACAGTTTACTTATATACGTTTAGAGTAGATTTATTGAATAAGTGATTATTTACAAGCTACATCAAATTAGACTTCTAATGAATACATAACGATGTGAACGTGATGGCTGTAAGAACCACCTGTACGTTGTAAATTTAAGATTTAAAACAGATCATGGCGTTACATCCGTATTCATTTTGGAAGTTCTCTTTCCATTTTCTTACAAGAATACAAATATCCTTACAAAGGGGTTCCTCGAATGTACGAATCGTCCATCTCCAGCGTGTAATAGCGAATATCTATCTACATTAATTATCAAGCTAGACAAGCTACACTTTGTATATTAAAAAGTTACTTCCTTAAAAGTGATTCCACGCATACCTTTCACATATTAAATACCGCCACAACAGCCACCTATTGATACCGAATCAAAGACATTGCAATCGAGCCATGACTATGAATTTGAACTCTAAAAAAACCCGTTATCTAACAGAAGTCTTCAAAAATTCGGAAAAGTGGGATACCACCATACTATATTACCGAGGACATTTCTACGATATGTTTGTATATTTGTGAATCGCCCCATGAACGTTGCGTTCAACGAGGGACGAGTTTCTAACCACCATTAAGGGGATGTAAAAATGGCGTCAAGAGAGGTCTCGTTTATGCAACTTTTCTCTACACTGGGTGTACCGAATCGTTTTAAACTTGCCAATGGGAATGTGGAGGCTGTAAGGAAGGTCCCGATTCCCATAAAATTTCATTTTTAATTAAAAATGTTATAAACACCTATAAACAAATTTTCAAACAATTCAAATTTCATCGGTGTCAGGACCTTCCTTATAGCCTCCATATTCACGATGTAAACTTTGAAACGATTCGATACACCCAATTCAGAGAAAAGTATTATAAACGCGTGCCGCCACTTTCATATCATCCTTAAGGCGGCTCGAAAATGACCGCGACTTATCGAGAAACGTTTCCGGATTATAACGTTGATGCGTAAGTAATGAGTGGTTTATCCTCATAAATTGGATGAAAAAAAACACCATTACTTGTGCATCAACCCAATATATCAGGAGTGGAACCTTCTAGAGCCAGGAGAGTTCGATAGGCATTCCCTGGAACTACGTTAGGGTTAACGGCCACCAGAGTTTCGTAGGCATCCTCTGGTGTTTCCGAAGAATATATAGAGGGTCCAACAACGGTATTCTGACCAGCTGAGCTGAAATTTGCGACCTGGGGATGATCGTCTCCGGCGCTACGTCAGGATCCGAGGCCATCAAAGTTCCATAACCATCTTCTGGGACCGATGATAGATGAACGTTCACGAGGAATCGCAGGAATTCTTCCGAGTCGACGAGGGTATCGCAACTTATCTTCGGGGTCCATTCGAGACATCGGGCCACCAAACCTCCATGGGTATCATCTGGGACCTCTAACGGACACGTGGAGGGTCATCATATCAAGTATTCCCGCGGACGATCACCAGGTCGCATGGCTCACGGTAACGAGAATAATTGATCACTCTCTTTCGACACCGTGAGCTTCGACGCGGTCTACCGACCATTACAGAACATGTCCTCCTCAATGGTCTCCACCTGCGCGTGGTCGTCGACCACCATGATGGGAGTGGCCCCATCGTGAAGACTGGACTTGGACAACGACCTCCTGTAGACGTCCTTGGAGACGCTCCTGGTGAAGCTGAACTTCCTGACCAGCTTCTTGTCCATCGGCACGGGACTCTTCGGGCTCTTCCTTATATACTCCGCAGACTCCGCGCCTTCGTAATGGGCAAGCAAGACCTCCGCGGCGTGTTCCTCTATGACGTCCACGGCGAACTCGATGTCCACCTCGGTGGCGTCTTCCTTGACCACGCAGAAGCGCAGGATGTACTTCCCCTTCACTCTGGAGGGTATCATGTGCAGCTTTCCCGAGGCGTTGATGTTCGCCAGGAGCTCCTGGTTGATCTCGTCCGACTCCTTCAGCCTGAAGCAGACCAGGCCCATCCTCACGTCGTTGACGACCTCGAATCGCTTGTTCCTCTTTATCATCGTCTCGAATCTCTTGGCCAGTCTTATGTGATTCCTTATGTACTTCTGCAGGCCCGTGATGCCGTAGGACCTCAGGACGAACCACAGCTTCAGAGCACGGAATCTCCTGGACAAGGGGATGCCCCAGTGGCGATAGTCGATGGACTCGTCGGAGTTGGCGTGCTGGAGGTACAACGGATCCACCACCAAGGCCGAGGTCAGCTTCACCCTGTCTCTGACCCATAGGCAGGAGCAATCGAAGCTCACCAGCAGCCATTTGTTCGGATTCGTGTTGAACGAGTCCGCGTACTGGATCCCGGACATCAGAGGACGCAGTTCCGGACATATGAACGCGTTCCCTGCGTACGCTCCGTCCACGTGAAGCCAGATCGAAGGATACTTCTTGCACACGGGACCTATCTCCGTCAGGTCGTCGAAGGAGCAGCAGCCGGTTGTCCCTAGAGTCGTGGAGACGAAGAAAGGCACCAGGCCGTTTGCAACGTCTTCGGCTATCGCTTCATCCAGGGTCTTCCCTCGCAAGGAACACTTCTCGTCCGGCTCCAGGACTCGCAATTTCACGAAACTTATCATCGCCGCCTTTTCCACGCAGGAGTGGGACTCGGTCGAGCAGTAGGCTACCAGTCTTGGGAGAAATGCCGAATCCTCCGTCCTGGGGTCCTGCTGCTGCAGCATCTTGATCGCTTGGGATCTTGCCGCCAACATGCACACCAGGATGCACTCGGAGGCTGATCCTTGGATCACTCCTCCGCCCTTGGATGTTTTTTGCTCCGCCAGGAAGTCTTGTGGCAAATCTATCGCTTTTCCGAACCAGTCCAGGACGATCGTCTCCAACTCCGTGCACGCTGGACTTGCTGCCCATGAGAAGCCTATACAGCCGATTGCATCCGATAGCATGTCGGCTAGGATCGATGGGAACGAGTTCCCTGATGGGAAGTACGCGTGGAAGCGGGGATGCTGCCAGTGCGTAATCTGGAATGGTGGTTTTCGTATTGGTACCGGAGGTACTATTATGAGCGGATTTTTGGGACTTTTAGGGGAGGCCCTACTTACTCCTGGCATGATTTTGCACTCCACGTCGCGCATTATGGCGTCCCAGGACTCTGGCTTCACGGGGGCTTCCTTTGGAAGCTGAGGCCGCAGATATCCTGGCTCCACGTATGCCGTTACTCGTTTACTCTCCAGAGTTCGCAAGTACTCGCAGATGTACTCCACCATCTCCTTCCCTCGCACTCGGAACTCTTCGATGTTCATTCTTCGTCTAAGTGAGAGAGAAATGAATTTAATGGGAACTCTATGCGAAGATTTCATGGACACACCGAACGAGAAGCTGGGAAGACTCACTGGCACTGGGAGCTCTCCTCGTTTGTGTGTCTATTAGCGAGAATCTTTCGATTTAATATTCTTTTCGGGGAATCCATCCTGGACTGCTGACAAATTTAATGTTACTTTTGCGACCGATTTATAATACACTTCGAACTATAGAGAAATTAATCTTAAAAGGGATAATTCCAATTCTGACATTTTATTGCATGGAACACTGATGGGTTGTGTCAAATAAAAATGGATATAGGTAATCGAATGAATCCAACGTAACAGAAAAGAATTGGGATCACTCAATGGGGGAATTTGACGGTAGAAAATAGAGATTGAGACAATAGGAAATGTACTTCCAGCAATTCTTGCGTCAAACTCGTGGAGCGAATTTCTATCGTTCGGGAAAAATGAAAGGTGAACTCAGGATGTGGAAATATTTAATATTTAATATTAATCCTTTCGGTACGGAGAGGCTGCGGAATTATCCACACCGCATTTTCTTTTTCTGATGTGTAAGGTTTCCCTCTTTTTTTTTTCTTAATCCCGGGGACCAAAATCGCTCTCGGCAACGAAAGGATCAAAATCGGGTCAATTTCGCGGTAATATCGGAAACCATAGATTTTACTCACTTGGGGAGGGAATTCAATTCACGGAAATGAAAAACTTAGGTTCGCAACGATTCGGGTTTTCGTTTGGATATTATTTTCCGCGACGAGCGAGAGTGTAGATTTGTAGGGGGACACCTCTTTCCGAGGGTCGAGATGAAACTGTGCTCTCGAGGAGACTCTCGATCGGTTTTATACATGGCGCTTTCTACGTCACCGACTACGTAGGAAAGTACGTTCGCCTTTAACCGGTTCCCCATTGGCGTAAGTTTGTCACGGGGAATTTCACGAGCCCAAAAGTAATGCCCCGGTAGGCCGATGTAATTTGTTTTTAACGCCTTCGCTTATCTCGGCCGGGGAGAAAAAATCGACCGACCACGGCACGTACATTTGGTAACCTTCGCCAATAACCGATAATAAATAATTGCCGAGCATTGAGATAACGAATTAAGGACACGTTTCGAGTGCGAACACAAGAGTCCTAATCGCTCGGAAGGCTATCACCTGGGACTCAATTCTGGAGTTCATACAATTAACTTTCGCGTGCGAAATTGACAATTTCGTACATCACTTTCAAATGCTGACGCGACTTCTCAACGATGCAAAATTTTTCCCGCGAATCTATTTGTATGGGGAAAAAATCATGAAAATCGGGTCTCTGGATATTTAGAGGAGAACTCGATTCGAGTAATCGAATTTTTCTTTTCAACGAGTTTCAACCGTTTTGTCAAGATGGCTGCCAAGACCCCTTCGGAAGAATAACGCGGGATAGTTGCGCGTATATGTCACACACACGTCGCACGAAAGTGGTTTACGAAATTGACAATTTCGTACACCACTTTCAAATGCTGACGCGACTTCTCAACAATGCAAAATTTTTCCCGCGAATCTATTTATATGGGAAAAAAATCATGAAAATCGGGTCTCTGGATATTTAGAGGAGAACTCGATTTGAGTAATCGATTTTTTTTTTTAACGAGTTTCAACCGTTTTGTCAAGATGGCTGCCAAGACCCCCTTCGGAAGAATAACATGGGATAGTTGCGCGTATATGTCACACACACGTCGCACTGTAACGTCGCGTATAGATGGGGTCCGGGGTTGTTGGATGTCGTTACCATGCCCGCAAAACGGGAGGGTAAGCCTCCCTCCCGCTTTATAAATAGACCTTTACTCTTCACCTACATTTACAACACTTGGTTGAAGCGACGAGCGACAGGTCACCGCTCAATCTGTGTAATACTACTCGCGAGTTTTTCTCCTGCGAGCTTCACGCATGGCGACCTGTTCGAATGCGTCCGAATTGGTCCAGGGTGGAGTGCCCACAGAGAGGTAGAGTTTAATGGAGAACAATGCGCCCTAGACTCGCATTTATTTAGTCAATTCGCTCGGATCGCAATCCCTGCGGCCGTTGTTTCCGTTTTGATTGAGCTCCACCGCCGATGGCGAGTCTAATTAATGCCGGGATTTACATTTCTTTCATTTGGGAGGAAACTCTTAATTGATCGTAGAGGAGTAAACGGTGTGACGTACCGATAATTTTCAAAACTCTTTTTCATACATTAATTGAAATGTTCTGGTTGGAGGGATATCTTGAGAAATTCAGTGGATGGGCCGAAATCGTGGGATTTTAACTCACATTCAGAATCATTTATTTACTCTATTCAGTCTCTGCGGACATTTTAGGCGCAGCGTTTTTATCAGATAAATTCAACCTACTATTGTAGAATCTTTAAGTCCTGTACTCGACAACTATTAGATGTAGGATCCTTGGGGGAGCGTTCTTAGAATACAATTGAGACTAACGTTAGCAATTTGAACTCGTTATGACTGAAAGCTATGATAAACAGGATTCGGCGATGTAATGATTACATCGTCGCCACTAATCGTAAGTTGTATCGAGAACTTGAGCTTTGTAAATCCATCGAACGACATCAGCGATATTTTCTTATGTACAAAGGTTTTAGGCATAGTGTACTGCGACCTATCCTAGTATCGTTAAAATTCTTCAAATACGAGCTGCGAAGAGGGCGGAGGTACAGGAGAGAACTATGTCATATTTTTCGTTTATCCTTATCCTCTTCTCTTTGGGACGTATATCCTACGACGATCTTATCAGCATATTAATATTAACGCCGTCCACCTGCATTCTCTGCGTCAAAAGGTCGATGCTTGACAATCGTTCTCTCCCTTTCAACTAGAACGTGGTTTCGATTAATTATTGTTAAGTATGGATATAATTACAATTCCAGGTCGCAGAATGCAGATAGAATTCTCTTCAAGTCCTTTATATTAGATGCCCCGAAGATTGCAAAGCGTGGAAGAACGGCCTCTTCAGAGTCGTCCTCCAGGAGGAACCGGAGATTTATTGTCGTTCCCAAGCGAAGGTTTATTGTCAAATTTTCTGATATTGTCAACTGTTTGACGTGCACAGTCGTAGTCGGCGTAGAAGAACTTTTTAGCGATCGATCTGGGAAAGTTTCGTGTCTTGGCTTGACCTCGTCAAGACACCAGGATCATTCGTCTCCTCCACGAGACGATGTCTCCTGGCGTTGACGATTCTCGTCTTCGACGAAGAAATTGCGGATCCGGTGACGAGTCGTCGAGCATTGAAACGGAGTCTTTTCTTGAAATCCCGTGGGATGCGAAAGTCGGAAGCTGAGGTCTATTACGTCCTCCCATTTGGTGATCTTCCTCGAGATGGTGAGACGGATGGCGATGGTTCCGGACTGCAGCCATTGCTGCTACCTCGTCGACTTCCTGCTCCGCCAGTCTTTAATCTCACCATTGTATCGAGATGTCGAAACCTGAATTAGGTTCCCAATTTTAATTATGCCGACTCTTCGGGTCTTGGATTATTCGTGGACCTTACCTCAGAGAAAGCTCGCCGGTGTCGGCATCCTTTGCTTGCATCAAATAAGCCAGTGGCCAGGATATCCAGGAACGTCTGAAATCCATCCAGCCTCTAAATATAAATCCTGTCATATCATCGACGATGTTTAAACCGAGACCCTCGATGTCTTACGAGTTTGTCTGAGGATTGGATCCAATTCCACCGATGGTCGCCTGGGTGTCCAGCTTTGCTGGTCTGTTCGGTGTCTTGGTAAATCCTGGCTGAATCGCAGGATCCGACACCATGCGCACGAAGAATGATCTCCTTTTCTCCAGGGTCGCTTTCCTCTTTTTCTCCCGAATGTCCGCCAGCTCGTCCATGACATCCTGGGTTTAAAAAAGTTATGTCTGAGAGGATAGATCTGAGGAAACTCGTCCCATTGGGGTTCCCACGAGAGGTTTGTAACCCGAGAGAAAGATCGCGATCGTCATCGGGCCCTACTTTGGAGATTCCTTTTTTAACAACGGTGACGTAAAGAAAACGGCACTCTCTCTCTCCCATCGTACCTTAGAATCGCTACGCGTAAATCGGAGAATGTCAGAGCTGAGGTAAAAATTAACAAGTGCGTCATCCATGGAGGAAAGTCATTGACCGATTGCATCCATCGCATGTAAATGCCGACACATTGGTTACATGCGTCGATACGTCAAGACAGAAATTAAGATCTTGCTTGACTGGAAAACGGTACTATAAATACATTACCTTGGACTCCAGTAATTCTGCCAGGAAGTCCGTGATGATGCTCCAAGCAATGTCTAGAAGTTGTATAACATGAATGACGTGAATTTCAGTGATGTTAAATATTATTTTTAGCTCGTTTAAAATATTAATCCAGGGAAATGCATTTACCAACGTCCTCGGCTGCTGCGTTGGGTGCTGCTAGAGCAAAGCGGATGGTGTATCTTTGGTTCACTTTTGCGGGAACCATGTGAATTTTTCCGGAGTCATTTATCGCACTTAGGAGCTTCTGGTTCAGCTTATCGCTGCCCTTTGCGCGGAAACAGACCAGCCCTAGCTGCACATAGTCATTTAATTATTTGTAATCATCCAGTGGCTATTTTTCTTATTTTTTTTATTCAGAACGAAATACCACTCACCACGACATCGTTGCAAATCTCGAACCTGGAGTCCTTCCTCACCAGAGATTCGAATCTTTTGGCGAGTTCGACGTGATTTCGAATATATTCCTGGAGTCCGGATATTCCGTAGCTTCTCAGAACGAACCATAATTTCAGAGACCGAAATCTTCGGCTCAGCGGTATACTCCAATGTCTAAAAGAAGAGCAAGATTGTGCATTTTATTTTTACGTTATTTCTAATAGTTTTTTTAGGGGGTGCCTACCTGTAATCAATTGCCGTATCGGCATGGGTGTGCTGCAGGTACAAAGGGTCTACCACGAGTGCACTCGTCAACTTGAACCTGTCTTTAACCCACAAGCACGAACAATCGAAATTCGTCAACAAGAACTTGTTCGTGTTCGTGTTGAACGAGTCCGCGTATTCAATTCCGGCCATCAAGTATTTCAATTCCGGACAGATAAATGCATTCCCTGCATAAGCTGCGTCCACGTGCAGCCAGACCTACTCCGAGGAAATTGCATGAACTTAGCGGTTCAATTGAATTTTATATTCAGGAAAAGTAAATGTCCATCGTACACTCACTCCAGGATATTTCTTGCACACTGGCCCGAGTTCTTTCAAGTTATCGAAAGAACAGCAAGCAGTCGTGCCAAGAGTGGTGGCCACGAAAAAGGGCACGTATCCTTCGGCAACGTCCGCCTCGATGGCCTGAAACGTAAAATGTCCAATTAATGGGTTCTAAAAAATGAAAAAAAAAATCGAAACGTCCCCATGGACCAGGGTAATGCCGGTTAAAACGTGTAGAAGTGTCGGGAGAACCTGTTGCAGGGTTTCTCCACGCAACACACTCTTCTCGTCGGGTTCCAAGATTCGGAGCTTGACGAAGCAGATCATGGCGTCCTTTTCCACACAGCTATGGCTCTCCCGACTGCAATATGCCATTAACTTCCCAAGAAGAGCCGTTTCATCGAGGTGAGAGTGTGCTGGAGATTCCTTCAACCTTGCTATAGCTTGTGCTCGAGCAGCTAACATGCAGACCAAAATGCACTCCGATGCCGAGCCCTGAAAAATCCGAGGTGGAGACAAAGGACTTCGCTCTGGCGCGCCGCCATCTTGAAACCACTACCTGAATCACGCCGCCACCCTTGCTGCCTTCATTGAAGTAGAGGAAGCTCTTCGGCAGCCCGATGGCTTTTCCTTTAACCGAAAGAAACTTTTTATGATGTTCTGAAGATATATCTTGCTTTGTAGGTACATATAATCAATGCAAGGGAGACGCTATGCATGATATTTACCGAACCAATCGCAGACAATCGTTTCTAGCTCCGTACAGGCTGGACTCGCAGCCTGGAGGAGGAAAAGGACGTATTAGGGCGATCTGTCATCAGGACTTTGACAACGCGATGATGAATTTGACATTAGCAGATTGAACTGCCGAAAAGGGAATTGGAATCTGTATTTACCCAGGAGAATCCAATGCATCCAATCCCATCCGCTAGCATGTCACCCAGAATGGACGGGAAGGAATTCCCTGCAGGGAAGTATGCATGGAACCTGGGATGTTGCCAATGCGTAATCTGAGGACATAGTAAACATTTACAGCGAGTTTCAAAAGCAATCCCTTGCGTTGCTTATGAAAATTATCTGACGTTTGAATGTACATCAAATCCCTCAGTCCCGTGCCTCTTTGCGGAATACGTACTGCTTTATATGGCCAGACTTTTCCTCGTTAAAAGTAAATATTTTTTTCCTGTTGTTTCCCCTTTGAAAAGACTATAGCTGTCCCTGTGGGACATTCCTTTGAACCGAGAATGTGGATGTTTTACGTGGCCCGACGAAATTTACACCATTGTTAAAAAAAAAAATAAGCATTTTCTACGAGGGTACACTCATAAACCGGACCGAATTATTCCGGGACACGTAAATTCTCTGAAATTCCTGGAGAGGAATTAATTTATTCCCGCAGGAATAATTGTGGGCTATAAGATCGTCGCCTGAGTTTTGAATCCTTCCTCGCGTTTTGTAGATTTATGAAAAATTAAATCTCGTTGAATTTTATGGCGAAAGAAAATCTAATTAGTCCGAATACCAGGCGTAATTTTTTTTTTTTTCGTTAGATTCAGGAATCCGATTTCTTGTTGCCAGATCGTGAATTTTTTAATATGGCCGCGTACCCCTGGCATGATTTTCGATTCCACATCCCTCATGATGTCTTCCCATGATTCTGGCTCATCTGGGGGTTGAGAAGGAAGCAGTGGTCGAAGATATCCTGGACCAACGTCGGGAGTCACTCGTCTCTTGTGAATGTTGCTCATAAAGTCACAGATATACTCCACCATTTCCTTCCCCCTTATGCGGAATTCCTCGATGTCCATTCTTGTAACACCCTCGTTTCGCGAGTTACGTCTAGGACACCCTGAAATGCGTTTTATGAGCCATTAAAACGTTTCAAAGCCTCGAGCTCAAGAGTAAAATTTTATTGTAACTCATAATTGAGAGCATTGCTCGAATGCCTGGGATGGACGTTTCATTGTAACTCCGTTGGCAGGAGTGGAATGTAATTCGAAAAATAGTTTCTTCCTTGTTGCTTGCCAGTCGCAAGTGAGACAAATTTCCCCCGAATGACAGTTTCCTTGCACGTGAATTGTTTCACCAAATATCCGATTCTCTCATTTTAATTTAGTATCAGAGCCAAAAAATCTATATTGAAATTAATCATTTTAACTCCATCTCGTTGCGCCGAGCCTTGAGCGGAACACGTGATAAACGGCGAGCGGTTTACCGTGACTAATGTTACAAAAATCGAAGATGAACTAAAACATAATATGAATAACGTCTAAAGTATGCACTAAAGGAAGTTAAAAAATGCGCATACCCATCGGCAACATGCCCTGAGAGATACTTCCTAAACACCTGTACTGGCCAATTTTCTTAATCATTTTTTATTCGGAGTAATGGATAAAAAACAAAAGTAGTAAAATGTCACAACATCGGGAGAAACGCGTTCGAAAGTGAGAATTTAATTTCACCTGAAGAAGTCTGTCCCACCTGGTCGGATAATCCTTTAACACTTCCCGGTGCTCCGTACGCGACGAAAGAACAAAGGCATTTAATTGCGGCGAGAAGTGGTGAATAAATAATTGTCATGATAACGGAACAGAATCGCGATAGCAAAAATAGGTTTCCGGGAAATAGTTACGTTTGAAAGTGCACGTGTAAATTCGGGACGAACTCAGGCGAAAAGAGAGCGGTCCTACCTGTTGCTGGCACCGGAGTCGCGGGTGGTCCTTCGGGAAGATGCTGGATGCGGCACTAAGAGTAAGGTACCGACTCGGTAGACGGCATGAGCTTTGCGAACCTACAACTATCTCGGGGACTTCCAAGGAAAACTCTTAGTCCTCCTGTTCCTTCTCCCTACCCCCGGAGGTCCTGCGCACACGCATCCTTCGCAAACGCAAGGACCTCCGTCCTGGCCCCATTATTCGCCCCATCAAACGGGAGGGCGAGAAAAAATAACCCATTCTGCTCTGGGCCGAATTTCACGAAGCATCCTTTTAAATGGGTCTAGGTCGAATTTGGCCGGAGAAGTCATCCGGTAATTTATTTCCGGGGAAAAGGATCTAAGAATAAAATGTAAGGAGCCTTGAGGGGCAAAAATATAATTAAAAAAAAAAAATGGAGCAATACACGGAACTTAAAATTTGGCCTCTGCAACATTTTCCAGACTACATCCCCTTGGGAATAGGTGATGGAATGATTAGATTAAATTTTTCAACCATCCTGGGTGCATTGCCTCCTGATATCTATACTTTGGTAGCATCCCTTTGCGATACGTTAATGGATTAATTAAATTATGCTTTGGGGTTAACAAGAGGCACGACACCCGAGACACTCGTGGGGTGTGGGAACCTTTTTCTATTCGTTATTCTGAATAATTTTCGGAACAAGGTATGGGAAAATTATGGGGAAAGGATGACGATTTAATGCGAAACGTGATTCGGAGTGACGCCAAAGGGACAAGTTTAATATAATAGTGTAATGATTGGTGATGAAAATAACTTGTTCCTTTTTCAGACCCTTTTCCGGGGCGACTGCAAAATGGGGAAATTTTCCAGTCAGTGGAAATTTCATACCTTGGGGAATCAGCTGGAAAATATGCAGGTATATCGAGGCCTGGGAGAAATAAGTGCAAATAGGGAGGAAATAGGAAAAAAGGGTCGGGAGGGGAAGAATTCTTGAAAGGTCTCGAGTCGGAAGTCATCTTCCGGAAAATGCGCACACAGGGCTGCAGCTACCGGTACTTGAGTAAATTGGATGTTGAGTCTTGAAGTGAGAGGGTGCACCGGTGCATTAGGGACTTGTCAGATGCACACCGTTCGGAAATCCACCTTAATTATAACGTAATAAACATCAGCCAATAATTAGTCAAATCGAACCCACTGATTCAATGAATTTCACGCACGGGTTCAACCTAAACGAATAAACCTTTTCTTATTTTTCATTGTACCACTTTTATTATTTCAATTTAATATACGTATATTTTTATTCGCTATAATTTCTACAACTAAATCATTACGATAAGTCTTCGAAGTATTCCTTTCAGGAGATAAATTTGTCACGTTGAGGAGGTATTCCCGGTGTTGAGGACGGTGATCGAATGTCGTCTATCGTTTCCGTGTGGTTTCCAGTTTACTCAAATAAGTTTTCCAGCTGAATCAGCACGTATTCGGGCGTGTCTTTCGGAAATATCGAATGAATATCATTCACGATTAAACGTAGGCACCCTGGAGTCTGCTAGAGATTTCACGGTGGGTCGGGATCCTTCCCCTTTCCGTCTCATCGGCGACAAAAAGACTTCGCTCAACCTATCGTCGATTTCCTGAATTTCTCGACCAATGACTTTCTACCAAAATTCCGCCATCTCGCAAATATATTTATCCGATGGAACGAGAAAAAATCCCCGCAGATCGTGTCATGAATAATTCCCGCAAACGTATTTATTACCGATCGAGAGGTTTATCGCCGAAGGGCGCATTGGGATGCAGGATCGGTTTATGGGGAAATTTGGAAAAGGCAAAATTGGGGGATTTTTAGGAGTCAGCTGGAGTTCTTTCGTGGGTGGCAGGAGTGGAACCCTTTAGGGATAAAAGCGTTCATAATGCTGGAATGCGAGGGGGTCGAGGAGCAGCCAGGGGTGCTTAATAATGCAATATGGCGTCGAGGCGTCGCGACGCTATGCCCGCTATGCCGCATACCACCACCATATACGCCTACGCCAACCCCATTGGACCCCATCGCAACGAGATATACCGCACAATCGACTGCTGATTGGAAAATATTGGCGGGTCTTCCGTCTCTTTTTCCCCGCGGACGAGGCCATTCCGGAATTTGCGAAATTAAGGAGGGGCGCGCTCGGAGCCGCCATCTTGGAAATCTTCAATGTTTCCAACTCGGGTCTATTTTTTTACTCCCTAATTTCCCTTTGACGCTCGCCGGTCGGGGATTTCTCCTGAAAAGTAACGCACGATTAATCCACACTTCTAACCGAGGCAAAATCGGCAAATGATCGTTTCCTTGAAGCGATTTATCTTCCGTTTAGTTATGCCATGGAAGCCGCCATTTTTTTTCTTAGAGAACCGCGCCTCCGCGTTTCTTTGACTTCTGGCACCGAAAGATCGACCCACAAATCTTGCAGTATTTTTCATTAATGTAACCGAAGTGTCCTTCAATTTTAGGAACGATTTACAGAATAGTATAATAATCGAGGACTCTGGAATTATGCGAGAGATGCACCTTATGTGTTCTTGCAAGGACGCGCGATATCCTTCTTCCGGACAATGAAAGCGAATGCATTCCTTAATAAACCACGTTTATAGACAGATATTTCGGCTTAAAGCAGAGTCAAGGTTGTATTTTCAAGCTGAAGGATAATCCAAGCTCGGGAAATAAGTTCCTTAATTTAATTTAATATTTTTTCCGGTAGCCTTGTCTGAAGGGGGAGAAATTTCGAGCAAGGTAAAGGATTTTTATTTCGGGCTGTGCTAGACAAAAATAGAATCGTTCAATTTGTCTGGCTTGTTTTGGCCTTCTTTCATCTTTTATCTTTAACTGGAGGATATTTTTGCGTATCACTGTACAAGGTCGTTCGAGTGCCATGAATGGTTCTGCCGAAGGCATGCGCTGCAATGGTTGTGAACTCGTGACCTACTGCTCTCGTCCTTCCTCAGGATCTGCTTAACCTTTTGCAGATCAATCGTGAATTATCTCCGAACTAAGGTGGACCAGACCCCATTCTGTTCAAGACACCTTCCCACGAGTTTAATTCCCGGGAATTCTTGGTCAAACGATTAAATTTTGCGAATAACTACCATCAATAAACGAACCCGATAAGGATCCCGAAATCCTGCCGAACGACAATTAAAAATATATATCCACTGAAACGGAGGAAGATTTTATTCCTCCTAACTTCCCATAATCCATTTAAAAATTATTTAATATCATTCGTAACGAGTAGTAACCGAATGATTTTTATTTATTTAAATCACTTTCTTTCAGGAGTTAAGATGGCGAAGTCCAGGAAGAAGAAGAAGCTTTTGGAAAAGACTAAATCGCCCGAAAATGACACAAGAGAGATTCCGATTCCCGGTTTACCGGAGAAATATCTTTGGATGCGCGTGAGTAGGAAAATGAATATTTTTCATACAAGATTTTAACACCTTTCGATGGAACAATAATTCCCGTTTGTAAATCAGGTGAGAAGTAGCACCAAAATGAGGAACGTTTTGGGATACGCCCTGAAGGAATTCAAGAATCATCATACAATAGTGTGGACAGGAAGCGGAGAAGGGATTAATAAAGCCATCACCTATGCGGAAATATTCAAAAGGAAAAACCCTAATTTGGGGCAGATCACGAAATTGAGATGTGTCGAGTAAGTGGAAGAAATAATCAACTATACGCCAAGCTTCTTTGGCTGGATCCGTAGGAACAGTTTTAATTAAATCAATTTCTACGGTTTATTACATTTCAGGCAAAAAAAAGAAACAGACCTCACCGAACAAAAGACTGACGATAAGAAAGGACCTCCTGCTGCCGAAATTCATATTTTGCTTTCGAGGAAAGCATTGGACACCAAGGAATTAGGGTTTGTTTTTCGGCCCCACCTTTTCGTTCGATTTTTAAATACAGCCAGCCTAATTAATAGACATAAATCATTTCAGTTATCAAGCTGCAGGAGCAATGGGCACGTTTCCAGACGAGGCAAAAGAATCGGAAAAGCGTGGCGATAATCCAGAATGCAGCAAAAGGACATCTTTGGCAGTCGCGGAATTCGCTGCAATGGGCCTAAGGATCGGTCAGAAAAGGATGACGAAGGAGCAGTACGCGGCAATGTCGAAAAGAAAAAAGCTCGAAAGTGATAAATAACAGATCGAAGTAAAAATAGGACGATTGTCCCCCAAGATAGACCGGTATAGGGTGAAACGTAAAGCAAAATCGAAAATGGAGACTGACAAAAGATCCTCAAGAAATCAAATAATTCTAGTCGCAGAATTGAAGTACCAGCCTTCGGTATAAATTGGATTTTTATTAATACATCGAGTATCGTTACGGAAGTGGTCACGCGGGGTACATTCCTGCCATTTGTCAGTTTCACTTTTGTCACCTTCGCAGAATCGCTCCTACATAATCAATTCAGTTTCGCGTAGTTTCCCTTTTCTCCGTAGTATTTACAGATCGTATGTACACGTAGCGGATTATCCTCGACAATAAGTCACGGAGTTGCGAGACCTTTGCAAGCGACAAAGCGTTGGAATCTTGCGGACCGTAGTTTGCGGGAAAGGAAATGATTAAAGATTATAATGATGCGGAACAATGTGCGGGGTGTTCACTCGATCGTTACAATAGATCCTGGACTTTACCGGAGTTCAATATTCGGCAGTGATATGAGACAACAATCCGGCACTGATATTGCTTCGCTCGGCATGCACATTAGAAAACATTACCACATCCTCAAGGACGAACGAGATTCTCTACTAACTGACCATTTTCTTTTTCCTTGTCTTGTATACTAATTTTCATATGTTCGCACTTTTTAGGGCTGCCGAGAAGGCGGAATGTTTCTCAATGCGGTGCATTTTTGGATTGCCTGCTGATCAGAGGCTGCGTCGAAATGTCATGAATGTTCCGAAACGTCGTATAAAAGTTTCGCTACTCCAAACAGGTGAACTCGCTGTTCACCTTGCGAAGATCTACTTGCATTTTACCATGTCGCTCTTATCCTAATTTTACGTACATCCTTGCCTGGACGTCATCCAGAGTAAGAAGGGTACTAGTCTTCCCGATTCGCGGGCATAGAAGGCTAACGCGTTGTCTCTAAATGTTGTATGACATTTATCACTAAACTATCAGCACTGACCGCACCTTAAGCAATCTTGCGCTTTCCAACTGACAGTACTCGGTTTATTGTAACGGTTTTGGTTATTATTACCAGACATTCTTCTCGGCATATCAAATGTTTTAAAAAACTCGACGGCGTAAAAGGTTTCAAAAAGTTCTCAACTAATTTATAAGACGTGTTCGTTTCGGAGCGTAGAGGAACTGAGCGTTTTGAGGTTGTTACGTTACATAAAGTATTAATAAAATTAAACGTTCTGGTTCACGATAATTAGGAAAATGTTCCATTACTGGCAATAATACTACTTGTTTTTATGGACATTTGCGATAGTATATGCTTTTACGGAGAAAATAACCTGCAGTAAATTTCATTTGAGCAAACGAGAGATACTTGCGTTTTTAAATAAATAAAATTGTTAACTGACATCTGATAAAGACTACATAAATTTGTGAGTAATAAATAATGTTCCAAAATCTTAAAAGCACTCATAGTGAAAGCATTTGTCAAATGGAAACATGACTACTCCTGTCATTACTTGTTATCGATGATATCTATAAACAATAGATGGTAGGTGTTAAAAGTACTCGTCCTGTAAAATTATTTTGTCAGATAGCCTATCTTAAATGTCCGATACGTAGGGTATACCCCATACGAGCTAAACTGTTCTTCACGGGTTAGAAATGAATCTATAACATAGATATACTAACTTTCTACTTTTAAATACAAAATTTGTTTAATTATACGTGGGCCTCAAAGCGATCTCAAGACTATTATCGATCATTTAGTTGTTACAACATTGATGTAAAGTCTTAAAGTACACTTGCATTTTGTTAAAAGTACAGTTTTCCAAAATTGAAATTCTTCTGAAGTTTTCATGGAAGTGGATCGGTATTTCAATGTTTCAAATCAGGCAGATCTACTCGATCGTCTGTTCCTTGCGAATTACATTCACATCAGGACTGTTAAGTCAGAGTAATAGTTTACACATACTTGAAATTTTTAAAAGTGTCCAAGTGACATTTCAACTTCCCATTCCTCCGACACTCTCGCTATGAGCGAAAGCACTACGGGGAAAATTAAAGAACTTTCGATTTAACAGTACGTATTGTTAAATCTGACAATTGGGTTGCAAACAAAGGTAACGGACTGATGAGCCCTACGCTTCACTTTCCGTTGCCCCACTTCCCTCCATAATGGGCACTATTAAATTATCCTTAGACATCAAGTTGTACTTTGTAACAAATGCTGTAAACCTAAACAAGAAGGTAACCATGATAAATATACATTGTGTTCTTTTAGGGCTATCTAGGGATTTAACAGGTTATCACACATCTATATACATCAATTTTTACCTGTGACAGAGGAAAGTCTTGTTTTCTAATTCATCGAATATTGTCCTATGATGATAATATGCATGTGAGAAAATTCTGTAGACTCTGCGGCAAACCGATCCAAGTTTTGCCACTGAAGAATCTTTAATGCTCACCCTGTTAAAAAGTTTACATGAAATTTAATTTTAATTTACCGTCACATAAAAACATAATTTTTATTTTAATGCTACTAATACCGCCTGCCAGTTCTTTACCTGCTAGGAAAATATTTGTTACTGTTAAGTAAGCAGGCAGCTCCATCGAGAGTATGCCGGGTATAGTCAATGGCTGGACATTCTTTGGGTGTCTTATGAGCAGCACAAAGAAAGATCCACTGTTCCGTAGCAGTCATTTGGGTACAAGTCTCCGGGTGACACTCTTCCTGTAATCTGACTGCCAAACCATTTAGCTCCATACAGAATTGTCTAAGATGCTCGTACTTCCATACACCTTCGTCTTGGGCATCGGGTATATTCAAAATCATATCAATATTTGACGGATCACGGCGAATCATTTGTTGAATATATTGTTGCACCGCCAAGGTGCTGTCCATTTCTTCCAAAGGCTCATCCGGCCATCTGCTGAAATCCTGCCATGAAATCACCATAATCATTATAAATATCTGCATATCCAATATATCACCCCTTCAATGACGAGTGCAAATTAAGCCACTTTATTTATTAATGAAAACAGTTACTTGAAATATACAACAGGACTTTAGTTTATATATTGGTGATAAATATGTAAATGTATTTATATACACATATATGTCAACAGAGGCAGATTACTCCTTGCCTTCTGGAAAAGGAGCATCCTGTCAAATATACACTTGTTAAAAACGTGGCCAACGCCACACGTCAGGGATCATTGAAAACGTCGAACAAATGAAGAATAACTGACATACACTAAAGTGGAATCCTATCCTTCAAATGCATCATAACTATGTAAATACGTGCCGATAAAGCTTTCATTGATTTTCGGGGGGAAGTGCCGAAAAAAGTAGGTACACACAAATTAGATGTAAAAGCATGGCTTCTGACATGAGGGATAATTAGTACGTGTCTGTTTCTTGTGGAATCTACGATGGATTGTAAAACAAATGCCGTTATTAACCTTTGCTTTTGTTCCGGGCCTGTTTCTTCTGTGCATTATCGTACCGTCCGCCATCTTCATTTTTCCAGTTGTTGCACTCGACCAAGGAGTATATGCGACTAAGTTTGATAACTATCAGAGATGAGTTGGGAGATTGCTCACGGGGAGGGTCGCGCGATCGGTCCTGTGCTGCCACCCGATGGAGGATACGGACGGCTAACGCACTTGCCACCTGTTACCCCCCAGTGGCGGCGCCACATCTCTGGTGAGGACTCACGCAATCGCGATGGCAGATACAGGGTTTGAAGCTTTTGTGAGGGGTTCATGATTTCTTCAGCCGGTTTTCGGGCTGCCTAGCCGCCGGTGAATTTTTCTCGCACCTGCGATCATAGTAGCTCGACGGGGAAGGTTGTTTCTGTTCAAATTGATCTTTCGTCTTCCTGTGTGTTCCTATATTAACTGCCACAGGGTATGAGCATCATGAGTGCGTGAGCCGCTAACGGGTACTGTTAGATGGCACCGCCATCGTGATTGCGCTATCCCACTAGAAATGTGTTACGGTGTGAAATGTTCATGGTGTATGGAGTAAAAATACTTCGACCAATAGCGGAATGCCTCGGAGATCGCACAAGTCGAGCACGTTTTCGGTTTGTGTATGTTCCACGTGTGATTGAAATCATGTATAAATAATACGGATTCTCAAGTTTATTACTATCGGCAAAAATGTTGTCCATATAGTATTTTGTTTATGCTGTAAGTGTTGAAAATTGTGAATCCATATCGATTACTTTTTAATCTTAACCTCAAACCGCCAGATGAGTGCACAGTTGATTTGTGATAGAGAGCAGTTAAGTTTTTGTATTTAGTAATAAACAAAACTTCAAGTTAAGATAAAAATGGGGCGCAAAGCAAAATTTGATGAAACAACTGGACAAGGTGTTCGGAGTGGACATGGTAGGAAAGCTAAGAAACAGGGTGATCCGAAGTTCCCGAAAGGTTTAATAGGTATAGAATGATTTATGTATTTACAACTAATCAATTTGATAATATTTCTTTCCTTAGGTTTTAAATTTTAAGCGAATGTAATAATGATTATTGTTATATAGAAAAGGAGACACAGAGTTTAAGTCATCGACAAAAGCAGCGTATGAAAAAAAGGCTTCAGAAAAAAGAGCAGTTAAAAGAAAATAGGTTGAAAAAGAAGCTATTAAAAAAAGAAAAGAATGTAGATGGAAATATTCCTGAAAAGAAACCATTATTAAAGAACAAAAAGTCAGAAGTACTTAAAACGGTTAAGAAAAGAAAAGCAGACAAACTTTCTGAAGACGTATGTATTACTTTATCACCAATGATGTATTTAAGATTGTTTAAAACCTGAAAATTAATTATTTTATTTTTAATATTTTAAATAGAGATATAAATATGGAAACAGTGCTTAATGTAATCACCATTGCAGGTTGAAGAATCCCTTCAGAATAAACAATGGAAAAAAGCTAAACTTTCCAAAAACGTTCCATTTTCATTAAGGATTGATAAAACTAAAAAATCCTTTAATCACTCTAAAGATGATTCAGAGGATGAGGAAGCGTCAATAGAAAGTGAAGAAGAACAGTGTAACGGTAAAAAAATTGGTTCACTTTTAACCATAAAATCTAAAAAGAAATCTCGTCAAAATACCGCTAAAGAAGTCATATCAGAAAGTGAAAATGAAGAATCGCTTGAAAGTGAAGATGATTTACCTGAAGCCCGAAAACTGAAAATAAATTCAAATCAAGATAAAACGGTAATGAATAACTTTGATACATTCAGTGACAGTGAAATTGACAGTGATGAGCTTGAAAAAGATTCTGATGAAGATGAAGATGGAAAAGATAATGAAGAAAGTGAAGATGATTTACTTCCCATTGAACAAGCTAATAAAAAATTGAAACGCAAACAGGAAAAGGAGAGGTAATAGTTTTTTTAGTCATTTCTGTATATTTTCAATTTCATATTCCATACTAAAAATTGCTACTAAATGTTACAGAAAACTGATAGAAGATGAAATGAAGGATAGTGCTACAAATGAAGATTTTTTTTCATTCCCTACTGAAGAGGAGCTTGAAAATACGAGTAATTTAAAAGATGTGCAGCAACGAATTCATGACGTCATTATGGTTTTATCAGATTTTAAGAGGCTGCGTCAAAAACATCGGTATGGTAGATTATGAATATACAAGCAGCTAACACAAGAAATATATTGTCAATTACATAATGTTTAATTCTGTTAGATCGAGACCAGAGTACCTGGAATTACTTAAAAAAGATTTGTGCACATACTTTAGTTACAACAACTTTCTCATTGAAAAGTTAATGCAAATATTTCCATTGAACGAATTACTTGAATTTCTGGAAGCAAGTGAAGTTCAGAGACCAATGACAATTAGGACAAATACACTGAAAACTCGTCGTCGAGACCTTGCACAGGTACAATAGCTTAGAAAAAATAGAAATATACTGAATTGTTCTGTGTGGATATAAACAATTTTTTTTTCTTTTATCAGGCCTTGATTAACCGAGGAGTGAATCTAGATCCAATAGGAAAGTGGAACAAAGTGGGTCTAGTTGTATATTCTTCTCAAGTTCCCATGGGTGCAACGCCTGAATATTTGGCTGGACATTACATGTTACAAGGAGCATCTAGTTTTTTACCAGTAATGGCACTAGATCCTAAAGAAAATGAAAGAATCCTGGATATGTGTGCTGCACCCGGCGGAAAATCCTCATACATAGCAGCACTTATGAAAAACACCGGAGTACTCTTCTCAAATGATGTAAACCGAGACAGAATAAAAGCAGTGGTTGGTAATTTCCACCGTTTAGGAATAGTTAATTCTGTAATTTGCAGTTACGATGGAAGAAAAATGCCTTTGGTAAGCACCAATCCTTTAATGGTATCTTAAAAGTTCATTATCAAAATCTTTGAATTACAATTAATGCACGCCTTTGACATACCATATAATTATGTATTTTTAGTTAATATTCAGTTTGAATGTAATTACATTGACGTTTATCATTCAGGTCATGAAAGGTTTTGACAGAGTTTTACTGGATGCTCCATGTACAGGCACTGGAGTGGTTGCCAAGGATCCAAGTGTTAAAACTAATAAAGATGAAATTGATGTGCAACGTTGTTATACATTACAGCGAGAACTTCTTTTAGCTGCTATTGACTGTGTGAACGCACGTTCAGATACTGGCGGCATTATAGTTTATTCCACTTGTTCAATTTTACCAGAAGAAAATGAAGTAATAATTGATTACGCTTTGAAGAAACGAGATGTAAAATTAGTACCGACAGGTTTGGAATTTGGAGTCGAGGGCTTCACTAACTACAGGCAGTATAGATTTCATCCAACCCTAAAATTGACAAAACGTTTTTACCCGCATGTGCATAATATGGACGGTTTCTTTGTTGCAAAATTAAAAAAATTTTCCAACATTATACCGAAACAATAAAATGCGAATAAGACTTTGGTGTACTTCTTGTACCATTTCCAATAAAACAATTAATGATTCTTGTAACATAATTAATGTACTTTGCATTGAATTAAAGGCATGTAAGTATGTATCGTGTGAATATAAGAGAAGTATGCAAAGTATTTAAAGATTTTCCATGGCAAATTTACTGCATGGTACCTCGTAACAATAAAAAAAAAAAAAACAGGCATATTCAGTTAAAAGATCAAGATGATATTGCCTCATCAAAAATTGGACTGCCTTTAATTGTATAAACTTATGTACAACTGTATACAGAAATTATATTTTACGAGTGCTCACCTAACTTCGCAATGCGATTGTAAAATGCACATATTTATAAAATAATCAACTTGCCCTGTCCTATAATTACAAATATATACAGTGCACATAAAACATTATGCGCCCTTCATGATTCGTAGACTTTTTCTAAATCCAGCAGCATATTTTGTAGAACTCGAGAATTTAGTAACATTCCTACACGTTGACATGTAGCTATAAAATAAGTGACGTTCTACATTTTTGGAATGATGCTATCCAGGAACTTTCAAGGTATCTTCAAAGTGGTTCCATAAAAATTTCTTGTCCAGTCTCATTATTGGAAGAAGATACCTTTCAATTCTTCATCGCAAATTCTCTTGACTTCATCTGAAATTAAATCAAGTGAATTTCTAGTCTTTGTAGCACATTAGAAAGTCCTCACCTTCAACTTCAATTAATGTTGAACTTTTAACTTGTATGACAACAAAAAATTTCCTTAAGTTAGACAATTTTCCAACGACCCAGAAATCGCTCATTGTTTTAATAACGATCTCCCCTGCATTCTGTAATCTAATAAAAATTATTTGTTAAAAAGAGTTATCTATAACTACTGGAAGATACTTTTACAAAATTACCTGTCCATGTCATTGTTAATGTCAGTCATTACCCTCAAGACTTCCGATGTTACGAGAACATTAGAACATCGTCGATTGTCCGAATGAATAGTGCTCTTATATGCTAAGTTTAACTTGTTGAAGTAGACGTACTTCGGATACAATTCCGCAGCAGGACTTGTGTGTTTGGAACACTGCTCAGCAACTGCGCTTACTAATGTTGTTAATTGTGGTCCAAGGAAAGTATCCAAACTTTTAAAGAAATCCATCACCAAGCTGCTTTTTCCTACATTAAAATGATGCATTATAATCTAAATAAAAATATCAGATAAGTAGGAAAATTCACAGATCAATATTATATGTTCGATAATCTCACCATCGACAAACAAACATATCGTAGCACTGAGAGAACGATATACTATTAAATACAAAGAGACTGGCTTTGTATTGTAATTAATGAAGACTTTCGGCACCGTTCCACTTGGTTCATGAATACTTGCTGGACCGGTGACAAATCTATAATGAGTTATCACAATTAAAAGTCTTTGAAACATTAATTTTTTCTAAGTGTAATTAGAAAAAAACCCGTTCTTGTACGTACTTTCCGTAATGTGAACTAGTAAAAGGAGATGGTGACTGTCGTGGCACAGATCCTCCATATAATTCTTTTTCAAGATGAGCTGGTAAAAGTCTAGTCACCAGATAGTGATAAACAACTTGCATGTCTTCCGGTTCAAGTCCACTCCTAAATTGAAATTGTACAATTGTTATTACAGTTGTTTTTATATTTGTCAGAGGATACATACCATACAAGTTGATCATTATAAACAAATGCTGTATATTTAACTTGGGAAAACATAGCTTCTATAAGATTCATAAAACATTGCACTCGAAGCAACGTCGTCTTATCCAATGGTAAAAACAACAGACCTTGAAAGATGTCAACAATGTTGCTGTTGTTCAAATTTAAGGACAATAAATACTGAAAGAAACATTTTTATATTTGCTACGATTCGCATTCACACATTATCGATACATTAAGGAAATTATTTCATAAAGAAAGTAATTTACCCATGAGTAGAAGTGATCGAGTTTGTACTTTAAAAGTGTTATCGATCCACAGTCAGGTTCACTCAAAATTGTACTAAAAGAACCCATAAATAAACGAAACATGGCATATGCCTGTTTGAGAACTGCTTGACAAACTGTGCTTGATACTTTGTCATTTTGATACTCCATGTATTTATTGCCATCCTTTACTTTCCATACATAAGGTATTCCAACAACCTAATTATAATTATTGTAGGATATTAAACTGAGTCTATGCAATATATAATAAATAAAATGTCAGTATTATTAATGAATAATCATCCTTACCATTACCATCCAAAAGTTAGGCTCTGGTTGATAATAAACTTGTCGCGTTTTATGTGTATGACAATAATCACATGGTTGACCAGGATTAAATGACCTATGTCAGAGAGAAACCTTACGATCAATCCTTAAACATAGAATATAAATACCAAATATACTATAAATTCTTAATCTTACTCTGTAAACTTGATGATAGCTTCGCTCAGTCCTATATTTCTGATTTTTGTATCTATATCCGTCTTCGTTGGATAATAGTATAGTATCTTATTTTCTTCCTAAAAATCATATAACAGGAGATTATCAACCACTGCATTTATCAAACTGCTGTCAGTTCTTTAAACAAAATTCAAACAATATACGAATTACTTGCTTGGTAGTAACAAAGTAACAAAAAACTCAAGTTCACCGTACCTCCCCTTCTTTTTTGGCATATGTTCCGTTAAAAATATAAAAGTGTTCCAAAGTAACGTCCGACTTTGCTGTCATGTTAATGCTGTTCAGACGTCTTCACTGGACGTTCGCGATAGGAATTGTCTGCTCTCTTAAAACATCAGTAAGGCACAAAAGTTTCACTTGCAGTAACTGAAACTATTTTTATCACTTATTTATGTCAACCTTTCTCCGAATTTGACAGCTAACCTTATAACTCAATTACCATAGGATTTTCATCAACATTGAAATCACACAGCGCAGTAGCTCTGATGAGGACTCGAATTGCATTAAATAAAGAGAAGATGAGAACTGCTATAGTACTCAAGTGCACTGCTATGAATTTCTGGCGCTGCAAGTGTTTTCTCAGTTATGGACATTATCAGTAACCTTTTAGAAAATTTAATTTCAGTCAATTTTCCCTACGGATCTCGACAAATTCATTCTATTAATGTCCAGAAAGATATACTGGTTGAATTAGCTGGATAATTTAATTTTAATATAACTTCTACCATGTTTTATGTATAAATTTCAAAACACCCGCTCGGTAATTGTCAAAACCGTGCACGCTACTTGATTGGTCCATCATACACCATTGCGCACATCGTCATCTCCCCTTTTTTTGATATGATGTCATCTGTGGTGGACTAATCCGAATTCCGCGCATTCCAATATTCATCGATATACTCAGCCAGTAAGTAAACTATTCCGTTTGATTGCTTTTGACGTCATATAGTAGTCTAACTCACCTTGGCCTAGCCCAATAGTAACTGTTGTTAAGTCTCGTGTAATCATCACATAACTGACGATTGTTATTGTATTTTTTGTACTATCTTATTTAGCTTGTCAAGTTCAGAAACAACAATGAGCATCCTCGTGTCACTGTTACGTCGCAACAGCCAAGAACTCCGTCCGTTAATTAGCTCCTATCTAAACAATGAGAACCTATCTCGCCAGCTGCACTCTTGCACAGAGTCGAAAGAGATTCTGATGTCCGAAGATTACCAGGGAAGTATGCATTTAAACTCTCAAGGCCCTTGGAACACTCGGATGCTCTCTTTCTCATCTAACACTGCAATCTCATCGATCGGATCAACGGGCTCGGGAGCTGGTGTCCTATCGAAGAAACAAGCAATGGATCTCGCTATCAGGCTCACCTCGGCTGAACGAGAAATTCTTATTTCAGCACTGCAGGAGTGTCAATCAAAACAAACTAAAGCAGAGTACGAAGGTAACGAAATATTTTATTCCTTAGTCTAACGCAAGTCCAAGTTTATTGAATGAATTACTTAAACGTAGAATTTCTGTAATACGTACGATTAGTCGAAGGCACCTTCTTAGAAGTTTTTGGAGTATATTCTTGGTTTTATGTTGTAATATCGTTTCTGAATTGCATATTCTTTGAGATTTACCTTGGACTTGGGTTGGAATATTTTATATCTAGTCGGACAAATGATCGTTTTATCGGGAGATATAACATCGATGTATGATAGGCATGATACTTTGTAAGTTAATTAATTTTAGTAGTTTGGTCTTTATGTATTTAAAGCATGCTGCTATCGTACACAGTTTACGGCAGTGTGTATATGAAAATATGTAAATGCTAGGTTTTATATATTTGCGATGATATTTTCAGTAAACCTTTTAAAGTAATTAAAGGTGTGACATCGTATAAAGTGACAGAAGCCATTACCAGTATAATCTTACCAGATCTTATTAAATTATCTATTCAAAGTATTTATCATTAGATCATATTTTGTCAAAGATTTCTGTGCAACACTTAATATTAGATTTTAGTGAGTAAGTGTATCAGGTTTTAACGAGTAAGTAGCTTAGCATTTAACAGACAATCTGATTTATACGAATAGTGCTCACATATTTTTATAAACTTTGCATATTTAGAACAAATTTAAATTACTTTATTTCATTCATTTTTTAGTGTACTTGTTCAACATATAGAATTTACATGTATTTATTAATTGATTTAGATAACTGTGTTTAGAATATGTACATATGGATAGAGGTACATCTGTATGCAAGTAGTCCTTTTTAGTAGATTTATGCATAATTCAACCCAATTTGTATAAACCATTCGGGACATGAAAATTGGTCACATTTGAGGTAGCACATATATGTCATAAAGTATTATCTGGGTACTCAAAATGTTAATCCTATAGGTCAACTAGCAGCTTTTCGTTGGAGAAGCAAATTTGGACGTCCGACCAAAGTACTAACTCTCGGTGATGTGGACCCTACTGGAAGCTACTGTGCGGTACCTGATGATTGGCTACTTCGAAAGTATGGTACGAGTTTCGGCGAATGAGCCCAGCCCATTCTAGTTCTAAGACCTCTTTTAGCTTACGGTGGTGGCAGTGGCAATGGTGTACCATAAAGTATGCATCGTTATTGAAAGAAATGTATTGATTTACATGTACTTAGTCGTGGCAGCAGGTGGAGTGATTGCGGGGAGCCATCATTTAAATTCCTGAGTGATACTTGGGACTTGTCATTTGTTCGTCTCTTAATAACAATAGTTTGATCGTTTGTTGGTTTTAAAATACTAATTCATTTTGTCCTTGTGCTTCAAGGAGATCTTCAAAAGCTGTCTCCATGTAAGCCTGCATGTAACGCTCTAGTAACTTTATGTAAATAAACGACTCTCAATGTTAATTACAAACAAATTACAACAAAAATTCCAACTGCCACTCGCAAACACCGTATTTACATGAAGAAAATGAATTTTCTGAATGAATTGAATGCTAGCAATGCCTCCACCGTTCGAATCACGATCACCTTTTCACACTTACCTGCTGCTTTTGGGCATAAATTTCTTGCAACGTAATGTTCACCGGTGTCTAATAACTTTCACTGTTTTCCTTCTCTGCTTCACCTCTTCTACGGATAAAATCTACTCTGTAAGTCTTCTACCTTCAGCTGCTTTACATCTTGTGCATTGTTGCTTGTACTTATCCACTGAAATTCCCTTCACATTGTCAACTTTGCCAATACACAAGTACACTTTCACTTATCACATGTCCAAATCGAATCAGGTTTTTGGATTTATTACTGCTTGAATATTTCTAGAAGAAAATGATAGACCATCAAAACCACAGTAGAAAATGATTTGTATGCGTAATCCTATGGTGTACCATTTTCTGCTACAATTTTTAAGCAGAATTTATTCCACTGAAGTATCTAATTAAATAATTTACATTACAGTTGAAACAGTGCCAAATCCAAGCAGAGCTGACTTGATGAAAGGTGAGGGAACGTTTTTGTGTAACATTCACTACTTTCTATTGTCCTAAGCAGTATCGATTACTTTTTTAATATTTTTTCATGCACGAAGTTTTAATCCATTTCGTTATATTATTTAAAGTATTTTTTTTAATAATAAGAATGTTCAGCCAAAGAGTGGATTCTTAAACAATTCTTTGTTTTGAATTACAGCTGTAGGCTGCTCGTGACTTATCCGCTTTTTAATTCTTAATGTTTACTCTAACAATAAGTTTAAGGATTCTTTAATTAGTTTCATATTTTTTATGCTCGTTCCACAACTGTTTGTTTATAGCACACTAGGTGCAGTATGTTATAATAATATTTGCAAAGTTTAGAACCGTCTTAATAATGAAGTCAATATCTTTTCAGTATTAATCGCAAATGCAATTCCTTTCATCGGATTCGGTTTTCTTGACAACGCCATCATGATTATCGCTGTAGGTATTACTGTTTATGCCATTTAGTTGCCGATTTGTAATTTGTAAATTTCAGGGTGATAGTATCGAGGCGACGCTTGGCTCGATAGTGCCTATCTCGACGATGGGAGCTGCTGCAATCGGGAATACTATTTCTGACATTATAGGAATTGGATCAGCATATTACGTAGAACTACTTGCTACGAAAATTGGCTTCCAACAACCCGAGCTAACGCCAATTCAAATGAACTTGCCGACAACACGAAGACACGCTAATGCGGTAATGTCATTACCAGTTATAAGTATCGGAGTACCAAGAATTTCTGTCCACGAAATGTAAAGTTAATTTCAATCTAGGGTCGAGTACTCGGAGTGACGATAGGATGTTTCCTGGGAATGTCGCCACTTCTTCTAACGAGCAATGTTTAATGAGAAATTCAACCAGAAGAGGCAACCAGTAGATGACAAAGTCACAAAACCGACCAATAGCGGAGTCTCACCGTGTTACTGTTTAGAGTAATTGCCGTTTAAAGCCCACTGATCATTTTGGAAACTCAATGTTTGTGACAATTTATTGATGCATTTTTTATATGGTCTTCCGCAGTATTGTATATATTTAAGGAGTGTATATAGTTTGTTTTAAGTATGAAAGTGTCTGTCCCGATGCAATCACAGTGTTACACATAAGTTACACTGACACATTGACACCATATGATTACGTAATCCAGTAGAGATAAGAAAGATTTTCACATGTTTCTTTTTATTTTCTTAATCATCGTTGCGATTACTTTACTGAAAAAGTTAGCACATAGTTACTAGAGACGGAAAATTGTCGAGTAAAAGTAAGTACAAAAAATATACACTTGACAGTACGTCTCTTCTACCACAATTATTAGTTCTAAGAGGTATGGCTGCTTGATATTAGTCTGTCACCAACTCCAACGTTAGCGCCTGGGTCCAAGAGAAATCTTTGTGACATAAGTCATATAGTATCGCCAGTCCCGTAAGGGAAATTTGAAATCTAAATCAGGAGTTTGCTTCCAATTAAGCTCCACTGTCATGGTGACAGGGTCTTGCACATAAACAACAGATTCAGAAATAGATCTGGCATTTGTGACAAGCATATTAATTCTATTTAACTTATCCTCAATAGAAGAATCCGATTTTGATTCCAATGCCGAGAACACGGGCAACCAAGTCATAACTGAATTTAGCCACCACTCCCATCCTGTAGCATTTTGAGTTTCTATTATGCAATTCGGGCATGTATCATTGTAATCCAATGAAGCGAATAAAAAGTCTATTGGCAAGTCATCAGAGGGTATGGCATACGTTTTCGGCAATTCAGTTTCCAAAATCGGAATTAATTTTGTCTCCAGAGCGTCGGTCAATTGAACAGACTGTTTTGGCGTAAATAAACTTCCTGGTATTTGACTGGTGACCAGTGCAGATCCTAAGAGGGTAACTACTCCTGCTGCATATGTTGCAAGGCATATCGATGACATATTAACCACAGTCAGAACAACATCCAGCAATCGAACCGAGTCAACTAAGCAGCATAGTTCTCCATATGAGAACCAGCCTCGTTTGCTCGCTTCCTTATATGCCACATCTCTTTCCAATCTTCTTAAACGGTCCCAAAACTCTTGCTGGCACACATAGACGGACCAATTCTATAAAGTGGAGCAAAATATATTACATGAACTCATTGAATATACATGACCATGGTTGATAGTTAATACATACAATTGCATTAAGAAATTCTTTTTCCAGACGATTAACTTGAGAAAGAGTCAGATTGCCTGATTGAGCCCATTCGATGTTATAAACCTCATCCTCTTCTCCCCGGTCGTGCAAAAATTTGCTGGCTATCATCTGATAAAAGAAATTAATTAATTTTCGAATATCCTGAATTTTTTGCATCGTCAATAGAAATTAAATCATTTGTATAACCAGAGTGACTAGAAAAAGCTCCGATGGAGCCACTTGCTGTAGATATTCAGGATTGCAGTCCTTCAATCGTTCAAGATACAACAGCGCTAGAACAAGCGAGCAAGGGGAAACACAAGCATTCCGTGATACACGGCTCGCTTCTTCGACATCCAGACGTTTCAGAGTGTGACCACCTCGAACTTCCGTAAATAACTCTGCAGCAAGTTCTAAAAAAATCTATGTGCAAATATACTTATAACGAAGCAATCATCGGAACATGGCTGCCAGCACTAACCTGTTACTGGCAAACTGAGGCAATCCGTCCTCGGTAACTTGGTATAATAAAGCGATTGTTTAATTCGATTTAAAAATTCATCATGAACGTCTATGCTCTGTAAAAGTAACATACGTTATGATATATCCCTGTAAAATGTAATGTGCCTCGCGTATCCTGCTGCGCACATTTTTATCTGTGAGTAAAACTCACCTTGAATTTCACCGAAGACCTTTTACTTTTCGAAATGTTCGTCATAGTGATAGCGATTTTCCAGAGACAATTTTCCGACTTTCAAATTAAGTTTTTCGTACACTTGTTAAATTAAAAGTAGCAAATACCTTAATACCAAAACAATAACCTAACTGCTATGAATCATGCTACCGATATTACCAATATTACACGCATGCATAATACCAAATATCATTAGTCTAGCACGAGGTAGAGAAAATTCTGTAGCCGAGGGATGAGTGTGGTATGAGTATGATCGAATTGGATGGGTTATGGAATCCTGTTTCTGCCCGTTTCCACGAGCGCTGGGAAGTCGACGGAAATCTGAATAAAATTAATTTTCTCCCGTTTCCCTGAAAAAAACTAAACGACGCCGTATTCATATTTCTTATTCACAGTTAGTCATTACTTTTGGTACTATAAATCTAGTAATCTTTCACTTTTTCCCTGATATGTCTCCGAAATCCATGATTTCTTCCCACCGTTACACATACCGCCCTCTCTTATCCGGTGTTCGAACGAGCACAACGGCCTCGTTAACATCGATAATCGTCAGGTGAATCGATTCGAACCTCCCGCCAATGGCGCCGGGTCACGTGACGCGGGGCGACGAGCGCGAGATGTCGCGCCGGCCGCAAGATGGCGGACGCATGCGCGCTCCCGACGGCAGGTACTCCGTATCCAAGATGGCCGGCGGGAGCGCGATGCCGTTTGACGTGCGCGTAAAATGAGTACCTCGCGGTGTTCTTGACGGTAGGAGCGTCGGTTCGCGAGTGTGCGTCGTTCGTGGGCCCGGCGCGAAGTGCCGGCGAGACCAGCGGGCGCGAAACATGGCCCTGGTGACGGTCCAGCGGTCGCCGAGCGTCAGCAGCTCGCCGCAGAGCTCGGTGGGTTTCCGAGGTTTAATCCGTGAGGGGTCGAGGATGCCTCCCTCGGTCGTGCCGGTCTCGAAACGCCGATCGATCGCCCCGAGGAATTCGAACCATGCGAAGGTCCCCCTTTCAATTTCCCTCCTGCGTTTCCCTCCTTCGCGGCCGCTCGATGACGCTCCAAGGCTCGCGACCACCTTGCTTTCCTGTTCGGACCTGTCATAACGCGCGTCGACGTGCACGCGCTCGGGGGTGTGCGTCCCCCTTCGACCCTCGACTCGACTCCGTCACCCCGGGATTTCGATCAGAATTCAGGGGTCGAATCAAGGGAGTCTGCGCGACGTTCGATGCCAGGTCGATCGGGATTACTCACGGGGAGGGTATTTTTCCGATTTGATCCTCCTGGGTGCTGGATTTTCCTGCCCGCCGTTTCCCGGAAGGGGCGCGCGCTCTTAGGGGGACTCGCCGTCAAGTCGACGCTACCGTGGCTCGCCCTCCGGACGCGGAGTAAACACGCAGTTGACGCCGGGTTAACGCATCGCCTACTGCACTCGGGCGCGAAACCGCCAACCGTCATCGGCTGCGCGTGCAATCGCGCTTGCACGTGCTCCGACTTCTGCCATTATCAAAATCCTTCCCCCCCATACAGGTCCGTTATACGCGTATTGGGTATATTGAATGGGAAAGTTCGCGGGAAAATTAGTGGCGGCTGAAGATTCATTATCTTGTTTCGGGGTAGGTGATATTAAGTGGTATTTGGCATCGTTGGTCAGCTTGGTACCTTTCGAGGGTGTTGCAGGTTCCCTTAAAAATAAATTCGTCGATGACGTGGCTTTTCTTTAAAAGAAAAAAGAACTCATTGATGTAATTTTTCTCGATACAAGAAATATCATTCTCGATTTAATTATTCCGCGAATCATTGTGGCGCAAGCTTGGGCGTCTCAAAGTGGACCGGGTCTCGGGACGACGCAATCTCTTCTTCCCTTCTGGGAACTCTTTCCCGTGGAAAGAGGAGCACCCGGTTGCACCGAAGTCCGAGGCAATTAGCTCTCCAGAGTTTGGTGGGAAATGGTTTAATAAAAGGCCGGCCTCCGTGGGGTCGATGCCAATCTGTGTCGTCGCGGTCCCACGTTCGTCCTCGACGAGCCCTGGGGCGCCTCTCCGACGGACTCTTGGAAAAGCGGAGCCTCGTTTACCGCGCCGAGGAAACTGCGCCCACAGAAATGCTTTCTTTTTCTCCTTTCAGCCCCTAAAAAGCTCCCTGACACGGCCGTCGGTCTTACCCCCGGATGGTGGGCACCGTTTCGCGCGTGCTCGCCTCCCTTCAATTCCTAAGAATAACCCGTTCCCGCCGGGAAGACGGCGACGCTCGGTAGAGAGAGAAATTCCGGGAAAATTCTACGACGCGAAGAACGGAAAGGCCCCTCTGCACTCCCAGACAAGGAGAATTTACTTGCTCTCTTTACCCGAGAAAGTCGCGAAATTCTGTGGATTTCAATCCGGTGAAAAATTCACCCCCACGCGCCTTTCCCCTTGGAAAAATAAAAAGGAAGTCATCGCCCCCCTCCCCTTTTTATCTTTCTGCCGCACCCTGGCGAAAAGAAAAACTCATCGAAGCTCTTTCTAAATTGTCGAGTTTATTTCTTGAAGATTTTCCCCAGTTCTTTCATTTTTCAAGTTTTCCCCGGTACTTTTATTTCTTTCTTTTTTTGGGGGGGTGGGCAATTTCGCCAGGGTGCACCGATAGGGATGAATTTTGTGATTCCCTTCTGTACTCGAATTTTCCACCCCCGCGGTTCGCCGCGGGATATCCCTTTTTATCCGTCCCTTTTTATCCGCTCATTTTTGACCGCGGGCGGACGACCTTCTCCCTTGGCCTACCCCATGGGGGTTGGGCCGAGGGGTGATTCGCACCCCATGGACCTGTACTTAGGCTGAATGGTCGGCTAGTTTATGCGAAGTGCGCGCACAGAGGAGGCAGTGACGCGTTCCTCTCGTCGAGCGCCAAAAGGGGCTTCAATCGATGCACGCCTATCGATTTTTAATGCCTCGTTTACTGCGCGCATTTTCCCCCTGTAAGCCCCCCCTGCCCCCCTGGTCTTCCTGATACGCGCGAATTATGCGCGGCGATACGCAGGGTTAAGCTGATTTACATAATTTGATTAAAATCGCGATTAAAACCAGCGATTTCATCAATTGGTTTATATTTTCAACGGTCACGATTTTTAATATTTAAAGTCAAGAATTTTTTTTTATATCATGAATTATTATTTTTTTTATATCATGAATTTTATATAAGGAAATCACGTTTTTTATCTCGAAGGAAGAAAATCACGATTTTTATTTCGAAGGAAGAAAACAAATCTTTGACTTCTTGGGGTGGGGGAAAAAAAAAACCTGATTTTCGTCAACCTGTCGATGTGCGAAAGGGAGGATCTTCGTTCTCGAGAGTCCCTGCTCGCTCAAAGATCACATCGAGAGGAAACGTTAAACAGCTAACTGTACTTCCGCTTATAATACCGCTATTGTTCGGTCTTGCGCGTGCCTCGCGGTCGGGTTCGCGATGAATCGCCGCGATTTTTCGCACAAGCCCGCCGAGAGGGCCCCCGTTTCTTTTTTCCTCGATCTCGGGGGCGCGGCGCACCGTGAATCCGGTGCAATCGGGGAATAAATCCTAGCCGGGGAGGAAAAGGGGAACCTTGGCTGCTCGGTTTGTTTACAAACGCTGAAATGAGTTTCTCTTTTGCAGGACTCGGGCGCTGGGGCGCCGGCGGACGACGACGATTCGGCCAGGACCTGCAAGAGGTGAGCCTTGCACCTGCATGGTGCACTTTGGCGATGTGCATTCTTCTGGTATTCGTAATTAAAAGGAGACTCTAAAGAAAATTCCAGATAGATAGAATTAAATTATACCGCACGGCGGAAAGATCGAGTCGACCCTGGGACCCGATTTTCGAGTTCGTACCCTGGGAAGAAAAAAAAAAATTCATCGGACCAAAGAAATAATTAGATCAAAGAATATTTCATTTGAATAAATTGTCATCATTGCAAAGAAATGTCGCGTCCCATTTATTGGAATTTATTCGAGTCAAATGGTTATCCCATAATTAACCAAACATATTCTTTGATACTATTTAAAAAAATATATATATATATTTCTTTGGTTCAGTGTCATTTTTTTTTCTCGGTGTACTATCAACTTTCGCACAGTGTGCGGCTTTCAAATGTTGAGCAATAAAGCGACTTTGGAACAATGTGAGATTTTTCATGCGAAAGAATTCGTACGAACTCGAGAATAGGAGCTCTTCTCGCCGAGGGACCTCCTCTGGGTGCCTTCGATTAATCGATAAGAACCGATCGCGAGCGGTAATGCGATTCGGCGACAGTATCCGAGAGGTAGTAGGTAGGTCAAGGATCCGAGTAAGGAAAATTTCTCTAAATTTGGTAAGGAGTCGCGGTACTCCGCGGGGCTCCGAACATGGCCTCGCGTCGGAGTTCACTTCGAATGTAGCGGATAAGCAAAAAAGAGGAAAAAGAGGGAAAAAAAACCGATCAAGTCGCCGATTAAGGTCGGCGAGTAAGACGTAAGGAAACCCTCCCGGGGCGGTTGTTCGGCGAGGACGCTCGACTGCATCCAAGTGCAGTGCTCGACGTGAGCTAAACTAAGGTCGCCATTGTATTGTATGTACATGTGTACATGTATACCCAAGGCTGGATAGAATTCCTGTTCATGGTTTACACATCGCTATCTTGACAATCGAGTCGAAAAGTCTTTTTCGAATTCTTTCTCCTGTACATCATTAACTCATAATAATTATTTGAAAATTATCTTTTACTCTTACGTATTTTACTGCAACATAATTACTTATAATAATTAATTGAACGTCTACTTTGCGGGGGGATTCGATTTTCATTGCACGTGTCGAGGAAGATCTTGTAGGATGTTTTGTCTGGCGCACTGATTACTTATAATAATTAATTATAAAATAGTAAAATTGGCGTATTGTAGAGGGACTCGATTTTCGTCACGCGGGTCGAGAAACCACGTTGCGTTGTATATAGGCCCGATATTTAGAAATCGGAGAAACTCGACAATTTCTTGTGCGATTTGCCCCGCCAGAATGGCGCAACCTCGCGTAACCTCGGCTCGGGCCATAAGGACGGATTTTCCGGCCGGCGAGTTTTCCTGCCGCTCTTCCTCCCTCGCGATCGAGGAAGGGGCAATGAGCGCAATTACGACGGCCGAGCACGACGAGAAAAGGAAAGTTATTTCCTCTTCTCGGTGCTCTTCCGTGAGACCGCTTTGACAACTGGGACGAGCCGGAAGCGCAGCTCGACTCGCGTCGTCTTTTCACTCGCATCCGGATGCTCCGTCCTCGTCTTTCCTTTGTCGCGATTGCCAAGAAGGGAGATACGGACCGAAAGAAAGAGAGAGGGAAA